CTGATCAACACCTAAACGGGCAGTGTATTCACACTACTCGCATACCTGCTTAGAATAGACAGACTTGTTAACTGGGAATGGTGACGCTGCGGGTTTGCACAAAGGATAGGAAGTCCGTTAAAATCCCACGCTTTACATTCGGATTATTAAAAAAATATATGAAACATACAGAAGCTGTGTGAAGCCGTGTGTGCGTTGTGCGTTAGTTGCTGCCGCATTGCGTGTTCTGTGTTGACTGTTTCGGTTCCAGTTTTGTACAGTAATAAACTAAATTGTCAATACTGTTATATTCTTAGCTCTTTCGGTAAAGTCACGTTGAAGGGAAACAATAAAATAATGAAATATATATAAAACAATAAACATTCTCACGACGTTTCGACCATAACACAAACGGTCGTCATCAGGTTTGTCAGTTTGCATGAATTTATTTATTTTTAAACGGTGTATTTATTTATTTATAAAAAAAACGTCAGTGCCACGCGCAGCGATTTGGCAGTTTATTTAGAAGGACTAGTCCATCTATGTTCTGAAAAGAGGAGGGGGGAGACGAAAAATTAATGTATGCTGTCTGAAAGCCACTGTAAGCGTGAACAATCAATTAAGACCTGAAATGGTTTATAAAAATCTTTCCAATGATTGCTAAGCCAGAATCCATCTTCTCGGTTGAAATTGTCTCTGTGCTTGTATATGTGGATAGCCTCATGAACGAATCTCTCATGGTAGCGAGATGGCTTACAAAGAACCTCTGTCTTGGAAAAGTCAATGTCATGTGAGCCTACTGAATTATAACAATGATCTGCCACGGCCGAGGTGTTGGTCCTACCGTGTTTAAGGTCTGCTTTGTGTTCACGAATGCGGTCCGAGACATGGCGTTTGGTTTCTCCAATGTAACTACTACCACAGAGGCAACTTAGTTTATAGACACCAGGGTACTGTATGTCCGGAATCACATCTTTTACAGACGGAACCGGATCACGAATTTTATGTAATGTGTTGAAACGGACCTGGATCTTGTGTTTATTCAAGATTTTGGAGATCTTTTTTGTGATCCCCGCAATGTAGGGTAAAGTGATGGTTTTGAAAGGCTCCTCAAGAGGGTCCTTCTTCATGGTTTGAGTGATAGCTTTGCGGATTGTATAATCGGAGTAACCATTAGCCTTAAGAGCTTGGTGTACGTGCTTGAGTTCACTGCCTATGTGTTCCTGGTCGGATATGCATTGGGCTCTATGATACAGAGTCTTGATGAGAGAATTCTTCTGTGATGGATGGTGGTTACTCCGACTATACTATACTATACAATCCGCAAAGCTATCACTCAAACCATGAAGAAGGACCCTCTTGAGGAGCCTTTCAAAACCATCACTTTACCCTACATTGTGGGGATCACAAAAAAGATCTCCAAAATCTTAAATAAACACAAGATCCAGGTCCGTTTCAACACATTACATAAAATTCGTGATCTGGTTCCGTGTGTAAAAGATGTGATTCCGGACATACAGTACCCTGGTGTCTACAAATTAAGTTGCCTCTGTGGTAGTAGTTACATTGGAGAAACCAAACGCCATATCTCGGACCGCATTCGTGAACACAAAGCAGACCTTAAACACGGTAGGACCAACACCTCGGCCGTGGCAGATCATTGTTATAATTCAGTAGGCTCACATGACATTGACTTTTCCAAGACAGAGGTTCTTTGTAAGCCATCTGGCTACCATGAGAGATTTGTTCATGAGGCTATCCACATATACAAGCACAGAGACAATTTCAACCGAGAAAATGGATTCTGGCTTAGCAATCATTGGAAAGATTTGATAAACCATTTCAGGTCTTAATTGATTGTTCACGCTTACAGTGGCTTTCAGACAGCATACATTAATTTTTCGTCTCCCCGCTCCTCTTTTCAGAACATAGATGGACTAGTCCTTCTAAATAAACTGCCAAATCGCTGCGCGTGGCGCTGACGTTTTTAATAAATAAATAAATACACCGTTTAAAAAGAAATACATTTATGCAAACCGACACACCTGATGACGACCGTTTGTGTTATGGTCGAAACGTCGTCAGAATTTTTATTGTTTTATATATATTGTATTATTTATTGTTTCCCTTCAACGTGACTTTACCGAAAGAGCTAAGAATATGAATTACTGCAGTCACGAAAGCTTTAAATCAAAAATGTCAATACTGTTGTTTTATATTTAATAAATTCGTGAAGCTAGTCCGCTGCGTGAGTCAGATTGTCCCACAGACGTGTCTCGCTAAGATGATCAACCCATGCCACAATGACGCAGATTCATTCAAAATTAAATTCGATTTTAAAAAATCTATGAGATTATTTTAGAGGATATAGTACTGGTAAAACACGTGTCACCGTGAACCGATACGATGAGCACTCAGAGGAAGATATAATTTAATAAATGTAATTATCTCATTATTATTTCACGTTATAATTATCTGCAACATTCCTATAACTATAGTTTATAGTCAAGCATAACGCTGGCGAAGGTGAAGTAGCGAATTAAAGTTACAGCAATTATAAACAAGAATAGCAAAAGGTTAATTAATTTCATGCATCCTTCCATCAGTCTGGCAAACCATGCAAATATTTCTATTCCAGCCATATAGTCATGCAGCTTAGCAGACCCTGGGAATGACCCAACTGTCTGCACGAGCTAAAATTCGGCATTCAACTCTCACTATTCATGTCCCTTACATTTTGTGACAGGCTTAATTTCTGTCGTCGGCCATCAGTTTTCTTGCTGAAAACTCAGCTTTTGTACATTTTGCTGAGCTTTCTCTGAATTGCCATTTTGATACCTCGCCATTACCCGGGAGAGTCATAAAGAGAGCCACACTCCCGTGTGGAATTGTAGAACTTTGTGCTGTGTCAGTTGTTGCCTGTCACAGTCATTTTTCAAAGTTCAATGCAGAACACCTGATGTCGCATACCATATGCGATGTGCAGATGTTTCACGTTACCGCTTTGGAACGACTCGCAACTCCAACACAATACCATCTGCATTTTTGAAAGTAACCTTTTATAGAGGCTGTTGCTGAATTTTCCATATGCTGTATCAACGACAGCGATGTTTGCAGAAAAATAGGCAGTCACAACACTGTGAACCCCTGCCCTTTCTACTAAACCACTTACAGGCTGCTCAGTAGCCCTAGTGGCCTACATTGCTAGCCACTGACACTTTCATGGATTCAGTGGCTTTACCCTTGTAGAGCACCAGAAAGGTATAGCTTTCCCAAGATATGTCTTCTGTTGTAAACTGGGCTTAGAGATCATGTGATGAGAAATAAGAATAGGTTATACCCTTTCTGGCAATGCCACGGTGATGTTCAAACACCAAATAGATACCTTTTGCAAGGAATCAAGTCTGCATTAACCACACGTATTTGTGGCGAAAATGCAAACAAAACATGATCTGATAATATTCTATGGTTCTTTTGGTAAAATCACGTAAAAAAACAATAAAATTACGAAAACAAAGTGAAGATTCATATTCTTTGGGTCTTTCGGTAAAGTCATGTAGATAGTTTCAAAGAGAATACAAAAATAACAAAATACCATGACGTTTCGATCGCAACACAAGCGTTCGTCACCAGGAAGAAAATAGAGGGGGACAGCTGCTGAGGCAAACTGTTTTAAATGTTTAAAATGGATCATAAACGAAGTGGGGGGGGGGGGGGCTAGTGATGTTAATTTGAGAAATTAGCGTGTAAATGTCAGATCGGAGGGCGGCCTCCTTGACGAGCGCAAGGAAGTGGCTACAGTATGTTAATGTGAGAGATTAACATGCTAATGGATAATCGCAGAGCAGCAACGTCAAGCTCGGCGAGCGAGGTGGCTGTATTAGTGTGGGGATGCATATATCAAACCTGACTCCCACCACCATCCTGCCCAGAATAATTCCCTCATCAAAACTCTACACCATAGAGCTCGATGTATTTCCAACCATCATCACCTAGCCAGTGAACTGGAGCACGTACACCAAGCTCTCAAGACGAATGGATATTCAGTCTATACAATCCGTAAAGTTATCACCCCAACCGATGGGAAAGAACCATCTGAGGACCCAATCAAAACCATCACCTTGCCATACATAGCAGGGGTCACCAATAAGATCTCCAAAATCATGAGTAAACACAAGATCCAGGTTCAATTTAACATCTGTGAAGCATGTGATCCCTGACATGCAATACCCCGGCGTCTACAAACTAAACTGTGTCTGTGGCAGCAGTTACATTGAGGAAACTAGGAGACATGTCTCGGACCGTTTTCGTGAACATAAGGCAGATCTGAAACACGGTCGGACCAATACCTTGGCCGTGGCTGATCGTTGTTTTAATGCGGTGCGCTCACACAAAATGTATTTCTCTAAGACGAAGGTACTTTGTAAACCCACTGGCTATCAACAAAGATTCGTTCACGAAGCCATCCACATATACATATACAGACACAACTTCAATCGAGAAGATAGGTACAAACTGTGCAATCATTGTAAGGACGTTATTAACCGGTTTAAGTCATAACTAGCTATGATGTTTCCATCCTTCCTTCCGATGTTAGCAGTTATTTTCGACTCTCTGATTTTACATGAACAGGTTTACAGCCGCCGCTTACATGGACATGCTAATCTCTCTCACTTTAACATCACTAGCCCCGCCCACTTCGTTGAGGACCCTTGGGCTACACCCATTTCAAACCTTTAAAACAGCCTGCTTCAGCAGCTCCCCCCCCCCCCCTTTTTTCTCCTGATAACGATTGCTTGTGTTGCGATCGAAACGTTGGGATGTTTGTATTATTTTTTTATTAACTTTATTTTTATTTTATTTTTATTATTTTATTGTTCCATCGACGTGACTGAACGACCCAAAGAATATCCTGTTTTAAAAAAAAAATTCTCTGTCGCAGTAAAACAAACACACATTCGTGATTTCATGAATGTAAAGTAAATAACTTGTTTCATTATATTAAATGTACCCCCCATAAATACGCTTCAAAGCATGTTTACCAGTGAATTTTTAGATTTTGTTGATCCAGGGAACATTTCAACAATAACAAAGTTGCTTCTGAAGGAAAATATAAACAATCTACGAATATTGCATAATGGACCATGTGACACGATGGAATGCTTCACCCGGTGAACTTTCACTGTGACGTTTGAACTGTGAATGGTGCTGTTTGTTTCGAGTGGCTCAGCATTTGAGCGGAAAAACAATCCTTCACAGCATATTTTGCGGGCGAATAGGAGAGTGCTGAAAAATGAATTTAATGCGCTTTTTCACTCTGTTAACTTCTGCTCTTTCCCCGATGGGAAACAACTCTTCATTTGAAGTCGACCCAGACACCCTTGAAGATATCGATGGTGGGTAAACATTTTAATAAAATGCTACATTCATATCGGTTGACGCTTTGGCTTTGGTAAAAAAATCACATGGTTAGAGAATTAAAGCATCTTCTTTGGTTCTTTCGGTAAAGTCACGTATTATTTTATCAATTTATTATTTTCTTCTCATTCTACGTGACTTTACCGAAAGAACCAAAGAAGATTAATCCTTGCAGTCACGAAAGCTTTAAATCGAGAATTAAAGCATGTTTAATACCGTGCAGTTACAAACACAACTTCATCGGACTTGTCAGAGGTCTTTATTAACATATGCATTGTGTGTGACATAGGCGGTGCTGTTTCTGGTGCATGAGATCTGTCATCTCGGATGTTTTGTTTCGAATCGAAGCTTCAATGCGGGCATATCAAATTGCTGTTTGTCATTCCCTGTATACACAAGAGTCTTGAAGGTGATTAGAAAATTTGGCATTGGAGAAAGCAGGCATTTTTAAGTGCTAGCATGCTATTGCAAACACTGTACTTGTTTATATGCGATCTGGACTTTAAAACAAGTGGCCACCAAGCAGCCTTTGACCGTAATGGCCTTGAGAAGGAGAAAATCGATATCAGTGCTGATGTTTCTGCTTTTCCAACAGCTGAATAAGCCTTTTCTAGCATTCTTCAATAGACAACCCTGCAAGGATGACAGCTTGTATACATTCGTCCATTTATTGTTATTAAAACCCAAAATTGCCTCTTGACACTTTGGCGATAATTTCCACACCTATAATCACTCTTATTGTACCAATTTGATGTCCATTGGAAGGGTACCTTATCAATAAGGTGGGGGAACATTATTCTCATAAAGCCTCGTTGTGTGCCTCGCTCCTTTCTCATCCAAAGATAAAGGAGGGGCAAACAACCGATTGAAATCCCACGTTCTCTAGGTTATTTTGGACATAAAGCCACTGGGTGTCTCAATTTGCCTCCATCTCTCTTAATCTCCATTCGTAATACTCTGTTCTATAAATTGTGTTAAATTGTGTTAAATAGCTAAAAGCCACTCTGCATATATTGTTTGAATGAAACGTGCACAATCTGCACATTTACGCATTGAATTATATTAATAATGGGAAAAAAATACTGGTATCACTGTGTATAATGTACTGTATATCAATTGTGCTACACCAGTTGAATAATGGCATGAGTCAAAGCCTCCATTGAAGTTATCTAAAAATATATATATTTTAAACCTACTCACTGTACTGCCTCCTAATGGCAAGCATTACCAGGTAGTTGGGACATTCTGTCTAAATAACAAAATGAACACAACCCATCATTTGAAACACCTTTCTCTGAGTGGTACACCAACCCGATTTCCAGTTTGGTGGATTCGAGGCATGAGCCACTGCAACGTCAGGGTGAAGAGGTGTCATCACATCGCATCATCACGACCTTCCATCTGCTAGATCCCACAGCTGGTGCAGAAGTGATAACAAACCTCTTAGAATATCCACCAATAGCCGGGTGGTGGTGGAACATGCTTGTAATCCAGCACTCCGGCGTCGAGGGTTGGTGGATCACAAACATGTTGTGAGACTCTCTTCTCGTGGACATGGAAGTGCCATACCCTGGATTGCCACGACAAGGCGATACATAAAATGTGGACTCCACCTGTCCCTTCTGGGAAACTTCTGGATGCTGCAGTTTCCTTCAACGTGTAAATGCTCATTCATTGACCAATAACACCTTAATATCTAGAGGACTGCAGAGCTTGCAGGAGATTTGCGACCAGCTCACCGCATTGTTGCCTTTCCCTCTTGTCTGTGGTCCCTTGCGCCTCTGAGTCATTATGTTTGTTTGACATTGAGGGAATACTGTGCAGAGCATGATAAGTTGAAATCATTATAACCTGGCGTTTGGTCTTACCCTCGGTTTCTGAATGCCTCGGTGTGGTGCCACTGTCTCCCACACAAGCATGCTCTGTTCAACACGTAACCACCAAATGCAACTTAATGTTTTGTTATTTCTCTCCATACCAGTTAATTTAGAACAGTGGTGGCGCTAGGCGTTCGTGAGCTAATCAAAAGTGCAAGGCCCCCAATCGCTCAAGGGGCCTCAGATTTATAAAAAAAAGATATATACAGGCATGCCCCAAATATCAGCTCATTATCATGATATTTCAAATGATTGAAATTGCTATTTATTAGTACATTAGCTCCATTATTTCATGCAACTGTGATGCAAACTTAGTGATGAAATTTGTCCGGCAAATAATGTTTGTGGTCATATAATTCGCTGAGAAAATAACTTCTGGTTAGGGCCCTCAGTGGGCTAGACCACCACTGCTGGTGTGGAGCATCTCTCTCTCTCTCAGCTGCAGACAGATGGCCTTTCTGCCGATTTCTGCGACTGCTACTTAAAGATCTGTGCAAATGCATCCCTTTCCCTAACTTTGTATGCTTTTATATGTTTCATCATATGGACCTCCTTTTGCCAGTACCAAAATATGATAATAGGGTTTTCCCCTTTTATCTGGCAACAAAACAAGTGTTAAGATGTTAGAACACCAAACTGAAACCTTTTACAAGGAATCATGTCTACATTAACCACAATGCTTGTGTTGTCAGAATGCAAACAAAAACATACTCTGGTAATATATGCATTGTCCTTGAAACTGATTGGTCCACACCAGAGACAGCTTTCTTTTGAGCCTCGCCTTTTGAGCCTCTGGTCTAACACCGTTTGAGACGAGGCTCAGGTGAGGACGATTGCTTGTGTTGCGATTGAAACGTCGTGATTTTGTTTTGTTTTTCTATCTACGTGACTTTACCGAAAGACCCAAAGAGTACGAATTCCTGCAGTCACGAAAGCTTTAAGTCAAAATCTTAACACCTGTTTTGTTGCCAGATAAAAGGGGAAAAGCCTATTATATTTTATATGTTCTTAACTGCATTCCTTTATTATGATAACTGCCCGGCGTCCCAGCATGCCTGCTGTACAATGCAGTGGTATACAGCTACTTTCCTAATCGGCATGAGAGGGAGTAGTGTAGATGGGATGAAACATTGATCCTCCGCTATGCCTTCACACCAGGTGCATTGATTACAGGTAGTTACTTCCATTGTGTTCAGAGTTATGTTATTCACCACATGCGGTGCAGAGAAATTGAATCTTTTCTGCAGCAGATTTCCCTCATCTGTTCTAAATGGTGCCATGTGGGACAAACTCTACTTTATGCACAAATAAATCTCAGTTGTAAAAGTGAACTGGATGTACTCTTTGGTGGGATTTAGATCCGAGATGTACTGAGTCGTATATATCACTAAAATTAACTACAATGGCTAAAATTGAATGATAGCATCGCAAAGGAACACTCTCTGAAACTTTAACTTATTTGTTATTACATTTTTACAGACACATTTTTACTTCTACCCACTTGTTGTGCTATGCATTGTGTCAAATGTATTGTTATTGAAGCACTGTGTTATTCACAATTGTTTCACACGTTCAAAAATACCTTCGCGATTAAACCAGGCGACATGTGTTTGGTATACCATGTTTGCTGAAATGTTTCGGTCAAATTAAAGAATTTACCTCGGCTGACATAGGAACGTGTAATTCTACCACTGGCTGAGGCTGCTAAGATGAGCACTGCTTCTCCCCCAGTAGTTACTTGAGAAGGGGAGCAACTTTGGAATTATTTTGTTGCTTTAATAAAAAAATATATCGAGCTTGTAAAAGTTTCCAGCAACCTCACTTTTCTATTTAGCACTAGTGGGGCAACGGTGGCATGCAATACGTTTTATTTGCCAATTAGGTAGGACCATACAGTGTGTGCCCGTCTGCGCCCGCGTGCCTGGATTTGTCGCCCCATTGTAAGCTCGGGAAATTACGTTCCAGGAAAGATTAATAGGAACAAACATTGCATTGAAAGTTTAATTGGGATAGAGTTAGGTTGCTGACTTTTGGAGATGTGTTATACTGATTATTAATACGTTCAATTGATCGCATTAGATTAAACGAGTGAATATATAGGGACAGAAAATCTAGATGAAGTTGTACAAGGGCACTAGACATATGTACATGATTCACTTTAGACATATGTGCCTTATAAGCTATAGATTGTATTCTACCTGCCATTGTATGATGTGGTGACAGTGCTTCATTCACAGTTGTAAAATTACGAGTTAAAATCCCAGTCAAGATTCAGTCGAGCCCATTTTCCCTCTGAGGTTAATACACTCGTATCTACGTGGAAAGTCAACATTGGCTAATTCATGAAATGACCGGCCCCTGCCATATAAATACGTAATCTCCACTACTGGCTCAGAACCACCAATAGTATGTAGAATAGTATGTAGTACTGCACCACAATCAATTGTGTAAGGACACATTTCGAATTTGACTTGAATGGACACGCGTGTTTTCACTAATTGTCATGTATTGACGATTGCAGTCGCCACTGCCAGGGACTGTGTGCTTTGGGAACGGGAACATTGTGGGGACATTATATTCTCAAGTCCCCTGTACTCTGATGGTTTGTTTAAACACTGATATCAACTAAGCCAATGCCCCTGTACTATGACCTGGGGCTAGGTTACAGTTTTGGTTTTTTTGGTGGTGCTGTGCCCTACACATGGATTCAGCCACAGACAAAATATATCAATTACAATGAAACAAAGAACTGGCTCATTAATGGATTTGTGGTATTGACTGGCTTTCTCATCACTGTTATTATTTGACCAAAATTCCGTTGGTCAACGTGAAGCAAATATATAAACCAGGATGCAATATTTCAGTGTATCTGTTTGGCAGCGTCTGTACTGTATATCGAGTAAGCCATATGTGAAGGAGATTCTCATATATGTCCGTGGGCTCGTGCGGTGGCGAGATGTTAATTGGCTTGTCTGGTCTGCAATTCGTGGGTTCGATCCCAAACCTGATGCCTGTATATTTGGAGTTTGCATGTTGTCCCCATGGTCGTGTGCATTTTTCTCCGGTCTTCCGATTTTCCCCTCCACATTTAGAAACATGCGTGTTAGAGTATTTGGCTGCTATAAATGTCCACACGATAAGCCACTTCGTTGAGCTATCATTTGTGGCCAGGTCGCTTCTGAAAAAGAGCTACATAGCTCAGTGGGCCTTACCTCATAAAATAAAAAAACATAGTTTAGTTTAAACGTGAAACATTCTCAATAAGGAAAACTCAATTCAACTCATGTGGATTGGGAGTAAAAATAACAAGTATCTATCACTCCACATTAACATTAATAATATTTAGTCCATCAGTGTATGTGCATTTTGGACCAATGTTTTTCAGCAGTATTTGTTTAACCAGGTAAATTCTGTACCAGTTTCAACTTTTTGAGTCTCATCAACAGAATTCTTCAGGGCTGTTAAAACAAAAGTTTCTGGGCTGCCTGATAAGACATCGTGTAAATTATTTACTCCCATGGTGGAAGAAAGTCCTTCTTCAGAGTCACTACTGTTGACTTCTTGTAAAGTTTTACTCCGTTTGTATGGAAAATTATATTGACTGGGTTAATGTAGATTTGAATGTATGACCTTACAATTGAGTCAGGGAGCTGCTTTAACTACAGAGATGCCCGACTGAATAGAAACAGTTTGAACCAAGAGTCCTTGTGGGTAATAGGGCACTCTTTACAATAACCAAGTCACGCGACACAATTACGCTGACAATATATACTATCGCTATAGTCCCAAGCACTGCTTTCGCATGGAGTGTTTGACAAGTCTATATTTACTGAACCATTGCCCTGTGAATTTTGCTCTCTTTGTTTACAAAGTTCTGTTCATTAACTCACAAATGTCCTTGTGTAAACAGGACAGCAACAAGATTTAAATTTGAGTCCATCATATGTTGTTGCCCATCTGCAAGGGATAACTTTGCATTGTTAATAATGTCTTGAGTTGCAGAGCCGTTTGATTTCCCATGGGGAAAATTTCTGTTAATACTTAACCAATCATGTGAAATGCTGCTACGAAACTTATGTAAATCATACAGGCCATTGTAATGTAAATTATAACCGTGTTCCTGTCGGCTGCATGAGTATTTTGGAGCAGCTGAGGCCAAGCAAATTATAAGTTTTGGAATTTGACCACACCTCGGTTAATATCAGCATGCCAATATGATCATTCTACACATAAAACAATTAATGTTGTACTTAGCAGAATTTCAGATTATACAATTTAGTTTGTCAGAAAGCAAATATTGTTCGCTTAGTGGGGGCCTCAGTTACCAGAGTATTCATGTAGGATACTGTGGTGGGAAATTACATAACAACACTATTTCTCGACTCACTCCAAATGGTCTCTATTACCCATCACTATGTGCTGTCCCTTTATGCACTGTCATGGGTAATTCGCCACATGCGTAAAATGTAAAAGTTTTTTAAATACACGTTAATCCTGAGTTCAAAATCAAATGAGGGACACGACCTCGAGCTGAAGATAGCTTATCGCTCTGCGTATTATGGAGGTGCGTTGAGAACAGCTGTGCATATTTAGTAGAACGGTCAATATGCCGAGCACAGATGAAATCTCCACTGCAACAGCTGACAAAGCATCATTACCGTGCACAGGGATCAGTGTTCCAAGGAACATTGTGGTCATTGTGCTGGGCACTGGTGGTCTATATTGATCACGTTCGACTGAACCATAAATAATGCATATCTAATTTCAATATCCTTTTCCCTGGATATTGAATTTATTAAGAGGTATAACCTCAGGCAATTTGTTACCTTTTTGTATCGTGCATTTTTAAAGGTAATGTGAGCATGATGTATCGTGGAATGTGCACTCGTGTACACATTTAAATGTTTCACCACACACGCATTTCACAATGAATAAATAATTACTAAATAGTCCCCCCCTATTTAAATGTCCCAGTGACAGCCCTGAGCCAGTGGTGGTCATTCTCTATTCCCATGGTCAGAAGAGTAACAAAAATGATTATCTTTTCATATGGAAAGACACTTTATTATGAAAAAAAATAGAAAAATCATGCACTTGAATGGATTATGTAGTACTTTTCATAATGTGTTTGTCTTCTCAATTATGTAATTAGCACTATGGAAGCGTATGTGTAGTTGTTAGGGCAACATTAATTTGCATATCCACGAATTATATTTTCTTTGGTTTGTTTCCACATTTTTGGCAACCTTTTGATCAATTTTAGCCAGTTTTCAATCGATTGAGTCCCTCATATGAACACAACTTTATACTTGGTACACTATTTGATCATCTTTATCAGAGTTATGCCCCCCTGTTAAGGGAAGGACAGGCAGGCTTACAGATGGATGGACAGAACCACTGCATACTTTCACCTTTAGTTAGAAAGCCCTACAAAACATACATCTATAAAAAAAACACGACCTATTTAAACCATCTCCCAACATTACCAATACTGACTTAATGGATAGGTAATAATGTATAACCCTGATGGGAATGGTGTGGTGGATCAGTGAGGCAATGGTTAGCACACTGCAGTATGAAACTCGTAGCCTGAGTTCGATAGCTGGTCACGGCTCACATCAGTGGAGTAACATCTGAATCGGTCCTGGCCCCTCCTTCACTAACCTGCACAGACCAGCATGACCAAGTATGGTAAAACAAGTGCCGTGGCCAAATGGCACGGGGAGGACTTTTCCTGGCAGTGGATTGACAAAGGGACAGGAAAACATAGTGATCCCGTTTTGTAAATGGTGAAATAATTACTTTTGATTTAAATGGTGTCGTCTGTTATTGAGCCTTAGGTTATGAGCACATCACCATTGTGCATTGGTTGCACGGCATATGAGTACTAGAGACAGGAGAGTTCAAATCCTCCCCCAACACACAGCCCATGTCTCAATGTAAGGTGCAATGTTCCTTTATATGTTTCATTGGCTTATAAAGGTTTTCAAAAAACTATGTGAAGATAATAATGTGTGCCGCAGTATTCTGTGAAAATGGAACACTCACGGTGACATATTTCACACCTGTGTAGCTTCGCATGCCATTTTGAAGTGACGCACGTATGAGACATCTCATCCAAAGTGTTTCCTTTTGTGCTAATCTGACACAAGGGTCTTGATTGCAGAATGTCACTCATGCAACACTCGCCCAACTGCACACACAAATGCAAGATCCCCCCCCCATTTAGCCTGATAGACCATAGGTGCAATTGCTGTCGGTGAACAATACACCCAGCTGCCTTTCCTACCCCGTGTTTATCTTTACATGCTACACCATGTACACAGTTCTTATATTGCATTGAAACATACGTGATAATTAATGTTACCCATGTGCTAAGTACCAAAACAGCATTGTGGGGCTGCACATTTTGATTGACAACTGAGATGCGGGCCACCCTGACTCATGGATTTTCCACCACTCCTTCAGGGCCACCAATGGAGACAAAGTAACGATGCAGCTCTGCAATTGCTTGCTTACGCCACTGCTTGCAGAAGGGTCTCCACTATATGTGGCGTACATTCTTAAATTTTCTCGACAAGGAGCATAAATCATCACGTAAACTCCGGTCATCCTCGCAGCGGCTTTTGCCCAGCCTTTGAAGAATAATGGTCACTGCATCACACGCTTTCAGATGTGCTTCTGCAGCTGTCTGGAACGCTCTCCCTTCAATTTTAGGAAGCCACTGGAGCTATGCACTTTTTTGTGTTTTTATTGCGATAAAACACGTGCCCGGTACAATATGTGGATTGACATTGGAGGAGAACAGAAACCCCACGAAGGCGCTATGCACTTTTAAATCTCGATTGAAAATATATTTTTTGATAACTGCTTTTTGTGTTTAGTTAGTTATCCTTCGCCCGCACCTTCGATTAGCATTGTTGGCTACATACGGTGCGAAAGAAGTTCAGATACACATACATACATATGAAGCTCTAGAATGTATCTGGTCTACTCTTCCATGTTGACCAGACATGTTGGAAGAGGTGGGTGTACCCACACCTTACCCCACCATACACGACCTACCAATCGACGAGCTGGTGAACCCATTTATATTGCTGGGTGGGCATAGGTGTTGGGGGGTAGGATTTAAGAAACTTCCACCATTGTTTCAACTGCTACACCAAAAGTTATAATTTAACCAAAGACCTCTGGATGGAAAATACATTTCGCTAACCATTACACTATGGCAGATCACTAATGAAGATTATCACCAACCAAAAGCTTGTTTGAAAACACACATTGACTTGGTTCAACGAAGAACATAACCACGGCAATCTTGTTTCAGCAGGTGGGGCACTTTAATGTACCCAAGCACCCTCTGCGTTCTTTCCACCCCTTGCACAGATGCCTTCCCTCTGTCCAGAGGCCGTGACAGTAGCCGGGCCACGGCCATCGAAGCATCAGGTGAGATCCTGGGGGAGGAGCTCTCTGCCGCTGCGGTCAACGCGTGCACCCTGGAGCCAGACGCGGTGCGTACAGGCTGTGGCCGCAGCTCCAACCTTACGCAGGCTGAGTGTCAGTCGAGTGGATGCTGCTGGGAGCCCCAGGGTGACCTGGAGCCGGCGTGCTACCAGCGGCACGGCCTCCCATCGGGTACGATGAATTCACGATCTATTACCCACATACTGTACATGGTTTCAACGCAGCACTTCATTATATTGTAGTTCTGGAATTGTCTAACCGCAATCAAGGCTCATTTTTTTTTTTACTCTGAAAGTTCCTAGGAAGGTTCAGTATCCAATTTGTAAGAAAGACCTGGGTATAATAAATGTTACTTTCTATTTTACCAGTTAAGGCCCACTGAGCTATACAGCTCTTTTTCAGAAGCAACCTGACCACAAATGATAGCTCAACGAAGTGGCTTATCACGTGAAAATATTTAGCAGACAAATACTCTAAAAGCATGTTTCTAAATGTGGAGGGAAAAACCGGAGGACCCGGAGAAAAATCCATGTAAACTCCAAATATGCAGGCATCAGGATCGGAATCAAACCCATGCCCTGCATACCAGACAAATAAGTTAATATCTCGCCACCGTGGCGCCCATCACCATTGGTGGTTGGTGGGAGTGGAGAAAAGAGGTGGGTGGAGTGCTGTGGATGCAATTGGAAATCTCTATAATGAGCAGGTAATTATAATTGTTTTTTTTTCCTTTACATTATTTTTTTTCGAGTGGGGCCCTCCCTCACCGGCCTCTGGTCACCACAGCTCTGTAAAGTCAATGATATTTTGGCACTCTATTCAGGCGACTATATTTAATTCTGACAATCAATTGCTTCATCGATTGGAAGCTTGTTATGTGCCACAATATCAAGTGGATATTTCCAAAACGTAAACAGTGAATGCCTCGGTGACTGTTGATATTGTGTTTGTTGATAGTTTGTGAAAATGTTGACCATTTACTGACTGCAGAAGATAAATCGATAGTAGCTCGATTCCAGGCCGTGCACAATACCAGTGGCAATTGGTATCCGAAATTTTTTCAAGTATTCCCATTGGGTGGGCTGGTACGGTGTGACCAACGTTGGCACTGGTGAGGTAATGGAGGTCGGTTGTGGTCTAGCAAACACCATCCTATTGCGTCAAAGAGCGTGAAGTCATGATGACGATGATTTCCCGCTCAACTGAGCGTTGAGGAGGCACTCTTGTCCTCTTTACAGTGATTGGATACGGTTAGTGCGGCTGGCCATATGCGGCGCGATAGAAGTTCAACGTACATTCGTGGCTGTTCGCCAGCGGTGGAAACTCATTAATAGGAGCAACCGGTTGCAACATTCGTCCCCTGCTTACAGACAATTTCCCACTTGTGGTCAAGTGCCGCATTTATCTTGTTACATACAGGGACAAATGACCATAAGTGGGTCCTCTCGGCAACAACAAAAACTTCGCGCCCTCAAGACAATCCATTCCCTAACAGGTGCAATGTACTGTACATGCGAGTGATATTGTTATTATCATTGCAGTGGTGGAGGATGCAGCTTACTGGCAGCAAATCGGCATCACAGCATTAAACCAAGCCCTCCTGACCCAACCGATTGTGAGGACAGCAAAGAATATCATCCTGTTCATAGGGGATGGCATGAGCCTTTCCACAGTCAACGCAGCCCGCATCCTCAAGGGTCAGATGGCCGGACACACGGGAGAGGAATCCCACCTCTCCTTTGAAGACTTCCCACACACCGCACTGCTGAAGGTAAAAAAGTGACAAGTTAAATTCGTGCACGTGGAATGTGTAAATTGAGAGATGAAGTCATTTACAACAGAAGGATAGGGCAGGCTGACAATCCATGAGTTTCAAACAGACAAATTGACATTGTTTTACATTTTCAAGCAAACGCAGTGACTTTAGCAGGACTTTGATAACCTTCAAATTCATAATGCCCTAAAAACTGGCCCTGAACAGCTAAAAAGTTATGTTATCTGGCTGCCCCAAACTTGTCTCGCCACTTATCCACACTGTGGCTCCGGACTCACACCTGATTGAGCAGCTTGTCAACATTAAATGTCGAGGCATTATAGAGTGCTTGAAACTGCCTTCTTTCAAAACCCACATTGACCACATGGCCAACAATAAAAATAAAGTTGTATTATTTTACAGAAACAAACACCGTATTCCACACCGACTCCATCTTAATATAGTTAAATCCACCATCTCACCCATATTTTATTATTATGACAACGCCTAGCTTTTAATCTACCTTAAAACGTCTCACTCCATTTTACTAATCCACTCTGCGCTTTGCCCTTTTGGCACCTACTACGGAACTCATCATTAAAACCTGTAAATTTACTAAAATCTGTCCCCCTGGATATCTGGAGAGACCATCATCACTTTGCTGTCTTCATCCTAAAGGTCATCTTAAATAAATCCCGCTAATTACCTGAAGGACCACTTAGTTCCTCTAACTCCCTCCCGTAGCCTCACAAGTGCCTCCTTATTACTGCTAAATATCCTATTTGATAAGTCTTTGGTAAAAAGTATTTCCACGTTGCTGCTCCATGCTTCTGGAATGCACCTGCTACTCATCTACATCTTGGTTCGCTCCCTCACTCCACCGCTGTCCTTCCCTATTAAACCAAAACATAGAGGATACTTGCACCAGTAGCTAACATTTTGTTCTTGCATCTCTTCCTCCTTCATGTTTGCACCGTCGTTTATGTCACTGTTAAACCGAAATATACAGCTTTCTTGTACCTGTACCTAATTTTTTATGGCACTTCTTGCACTCAAAATGCATTTGCAATGATTTTTTATTTGTATGTGTTTCACTTATGACAGTTTAGTACCTCATTTGTTTGTGGTGCTATATCCCTTTAGGACCCTCTACTCGTTTACTGCAATATTAGTTATTTCCCTTTGTTGCTGCTGTGCTCACGCACCACGGATCTCCCTTGTACAATAGCCGGACACCTGGGTCTCACCTGGATCATCCGTACAATAAATAACATGAACAAGACTTAAACTTCAAACACTGAATACACCCGGAAAAGAGGGGGATTAGGGGAAAGTAGACTCGGTTCGCCACTGGTCACTTGCCGGGATTTTTTGTTTTGCCCCCACTGGGCCGTTTCCACCATCCTGGGAGTTTAAAGTCTCCCCCTCCTTGCATAGACAATCCCCTCTGGGGGCAAACCCATCCCTAAAAATAGAGGGCACGGGAATTAATTGGCCTGCATGGAAAGCAACCGGTATGGAAAAGACAGGGGGACATGCTTAGCAAGAAAGGGAAAGTCGGCTCTTTTTTTTCAAGCAGATACTGGCATGACATGATATCCCGCAGTCGCACTTCTACAAGTATCTACACGTTAGGGACGCCGTTGCCAAAGCCCCAAACAAGAACTTTGCCCACATCACTCAGCTCATTATGGACTGGCTGGTAGAGGGAAAAAGATAAGTACACACTAGCGAACGTGTATCATCTTCTCGATATATTAGACAAAAAATCAAGAAAGTGTGGGAAAAGTTTCTGGGACAAGACGTCCCTTCTCAAAAATAGGCACAGATATGGTGGGCCCTGGCATCTGGCCTTAGGTCGCTCCCCTTGAAAGTCACACCATTTTTTTATTTAAAAAGTATTTTGTGAACGACACAATTCAGGTACGCAGAGGATATGAAAGGAGGTTGACACCAGCACAAACACATTACAGATTACACTCCAATCGACACCTGTCTAAACCGCATTTTTCAATAAACTGTTCAATAAATTGGTGTCTTCCTAAGCTCTGATACCCCTGTAGGAGAAGGACAAAGGGGAGGGGAGTGCTTAAATGCCCTCACGAATGCTCTTAAGAATCAATGCCCACTGGAGAAGCAGTAGTGAAGGGGTTTCATGTTTGGTGGTAAGCTTCCTCCCTGTCCCTTAGTTTTGCACTTAGATGCTCTAAAAAGTCAACTTTTTTAAACGTTTACACATAATGTATCTGACGAATGAAAGGAGTAAAAAAATTCTCGAACTCTTCCCCAGCCTGCCCCAATGGTCCTACTAGGCACCGTGCAGACATATCTGCATGCCTTCTGCCTATGCCCAGATTATCACCGATTTCTACCAAGACACCGCCAACTACCTCAACTCAATGCGTGGCACAGAGATGAGCCCTTCAGTGGATTCATCCCTGTGCGATTTAAAACCTAGGGGGGTATCAAAACACAAATGTGTTTTACTCCAAGCCTTCTATTCCATGGCAAGGAAAATAATCCTGGAGACCTTGCCATAGATCCCTGTACATCTTGGAAGCGACGGAGCACCTTAGCTACAAGCTGAAGGGAAAATAACGAGAATAGGAGGACACGATATGCCCCCCCCCCTCCATTCCTTGAGAACCCCGCATAATACGCAATACCAGAATGACAGGAGGAAATAATGAGTGGTGAGTGGGAAGTGGAGGACCGGGCCATATACACTATGCTACGACTATCACATTCTGAGTGACTGTTGTTCCCACGAAGGAAAAAAGGCAGAACCGCGCACTGTGCTTGCTATTTTCCCTGTTTTATTTGCTCGATTTGGTTATGTGTCCCCCCTCCCACCCCCATCCGCACCCCCACCTCCCCTAATCTTCCTCTCCTGATCTTCGACCCTACTGTTTGTAGGGAAGAGAACCCGGTGAACTTTAAACCTGGCCCCAATTAGGGGGAGAATCGCCCAGAGAGCCCGGCTTCCATTCACATGTTCACTTCGCAATGAGTTTGTTGACCCTCTGTTGTGTTCGTGTTGCGGGTTCAGTAAATAATAAATTAATCAAATAAATTTTTATTTTAGCGTGTTAGGCCTGTTTGTCGAAACTCTATGCGAGTACAACATAGAAAAATTGAGTGGAATGAATATTTGTTTTTATTTAAAGCTTTCGTGACTGCAGGGATTCATATTATTGGTTCTTTCGGTAAAGTCACGTAGAAGGGAAACAATAAAATAATAAAAATATAAAACAATACAATTCTCACGACGTTTCGACCGCAATCATCAACACCTGATGATGATTGCTTGTGTTGCAGTCGAAACGTCGTGAGCATTTTATCGTTTTATATTTTTATTATTTTATTGTTTCCCTTCTACGTGACTTTACCGAAAGAACCAAGAATACGGAATGAATATGTTAGCCAGCTGGATTTTAGTGGACTCGTTCAGCAGGATGGCGTGTAGCCTTGCTCTCGTCCTTTGCAGTTCATCACACACGAAGTGCACAATTTCTTAAGCATTGGAAAAGTGTTCAAAATCTATGATGCCATTCCTCACGCTGAGAATATCACCTATTACAAAGGCCCCCAAAAAATGTGCTCACACCTTATATTACACCGTGGTCATCACATGGGTAGCTGGATAAAGGTTAGTGGCAAGTGTGTTTGCCACTCAGAATATGTGTTTAGAGTTGACAGTTCCATGCCTGGGGCTGCAAATAATTTCTGTACAGATGTACTTACACATCCTAGCCTCCGTAAAATAGACATTAAAGACCTTTTGACATCATTTGCACGACTAGGCCATGTGTGCCAGTGTCAGGACCCAATATCCCAAATGCGAAATGGCACTGCTCCAATTTGTTAAATAGTAACAGTGCTGTAGTAATTACGACCACTGTATTCCTATGGCTGCAGTGTCCTTGCAAAATAAACAATTGACCTCCAAGTTGAATACGTAAGATATATCAAGTGATATCCAGTCGTACCAGTGCCTTACGAGCCCAAGCAGCTGATGATAATAATACTATTTAGACGGTTGCTCATACCCCATCATGAGCTTAATACGTGTTTTTATGAGTGTGCAGATATTTATTTCCCTCCCCTGTCCCCTCATTCCCTTCTATAAACCTTTACTCAATACTCATCAAACAATAATTGGCAGGGCACAAGAGAATGTTTCCAATTAGGAATTATTTTTACCTTTGTGTATTTGCATAGTTTTAGCACTTGTCCACCCTGCCGCTATATTGGTTATGAACCAAGTAACAAAGATACATTTTCATTGGATGTATTTATGTACGTGATTTTGCACTGTTCTTGATTAAATATCTAATTAACATTGGCTGGAACATTGCTATGTCAATTATATAAATTTGTAGCATGGAAGAATGCAGTTCCTGGATTAGCTCACTGGGTGAAATGTTCACCGATGCAAAATGCCAAACAAAATGAGAAACAACTTGAAAACACAGTTGTAGAAGCGAACATGGTTTTGTCCGTGCTTCCAAAGAACAATATCCTTTTGGGCAGTTTTTAAGTGGTGATTTTATATATTTTTTTAAATGCTATGATATTAGTAAATACAAATAACGCATGTACCTATTGTTAATTCATGTCATTTTAGATTGTAATTTTTATAAACAGGAATTTCTACAATGCTGTTTATGAAACAAGTAAGGCTAAAATTTACGACCTCTATGAAGTAAATAAATAAGCAACTAGAATCGACAACGTGTGGAGAGACACGGGCACATAGAGGGACACACAAGGTGACACGTGAGAAGAAAGACAAGAGGAGACACGAGTGTGGGAGAGAACCAAGAGGAGAGACAGAAAGGAAAGACGTCAAGAGAGACTGATGAGAGGAGATTCTATAAGAGACATGAGCAGAGAAAGAATGAGAAATGGGAGATTGCGAGAAACAGGAGAGAGAAAGAGACGTGGAGCATAGAGAGAGAGAACACAAGGCTAGAGAGACATGGTGAGAGCAAGAGTGATAGGGCTAGAGATGCGAGGATAGGAAGGCATGGGGAGGGAATAGAGAGAGACATACAAGAGTTTGGAGAGAAAGACATGGAAGACACATACCTCAAGTGACCCCCTTGATTGGGGTTTATGACCCAGCGTTTGATTGACATTGGCCTATACCATGAATGAGTGCCAATTGTTTATACTGTGAATGATTGACATTGGCCTATACCATGAATGAGTGCCAATTGTTTATACTGTGAATGATTGACATTGGCCTATACCATGAATGAGTGCCAATTGTTTATACTGTGAATGATTGACACTGACCTATAATGTGAATGATTGACACTGACCTATACTGTGAATGATTGACACTGACCTATACTCTGAATGATTGACACTTGCCTATACTGTGAATGATTGACACTTGCCTATACTGTGAATGATTGACACTGACCTATACTGTGAATGATTGACACTGACCAATACTGTGAATGATTGACACTGACCTATACTGTGAATGATTGACACTTGCCTATACTGTGAATGATTGACACTGACCTATACTGTGAATGATTGACACTGACCTATACTGTGAATGATTGACACTGACCTATACTGTGAATGATTGACACTGACCTATACTGTGAATGATTGACACTGGCCTATACTGTGAATGATTGACACTGGCCTATACTGTGAATGATTGACACTGACCAATACTGTAAAATATTGACACTGACCTATACCGTGAATGATTGACACTGACCTATACCGTGAATGATTGACACTTGCCTATACTGTGAATGATTGACACTGGCCTATACTGTGAATGATTGACACTGACCTATACTGTGAATGATTGACACTGACCTATACTGTGAATGATTGACACTGGCCTATACTGTGAATGATTGACACTGACCAATACTGTAAAATATTGACACTGACCTATACTGTGAATGATTGACACTGGCCTATACTGTGAATGATTGACACTGACCAATACTGTAAAATATTGACACTGGCCTATACTGTGAATGATTGACACTGACCAATACTGTAAAATATTGACACTGACCTATACTGTGAATGGTTGACACTGACCAATACTGTAAAATATTGACACTGACCTATACTGTGAATGATTGACATTGGCCTATACCATGAATGAGTGCCAATTGTTTATACTGTGAATGATTGACACTCACCTATACTGTGAATGATTGACACTGACCTATACTGTGAATGATTGACACTGACCTATACTCTGAATGATTGACACTTGCCTATACTGTGAATGATTGACACTTGCCTATACTGTGAATGATTGACACTGACCTATACTGTGAATGATTGACACTGACCAATACTGTGAATGATTGACACTGACCTATACTGTGAATGATTGACACGTGCCTATACTGTGAATGATTGACACTGACCTATACTGTGAATGATTGACACTGACCTATACTGTGAATGATTGACACTGATCTATACTGTGAATGATTGACACTGACCTATACTGTGAATGATTGACACTGGCCTATACTGTGAATGATTGACACTGGCCTATACTGTGAATGATTGACACTGACCAATACTGTAAAATATTGACACTGACCTATACCGTGAATGATTGACACTGACCTATACCGTGAATGATTGACACTTGCCTATACTGTGAATGATTGACACTGGCCTATACTGTGAATGATTGACACTGACCTATACTGTGAATGATTGACACTGACCTATACTGTGAATGATTGACACTGGCCTATACTGTGAATGATTGACACTGACCAATACTGTAAAATATTGACACTGACCTATACTGTGAATGATTGACACTGGCCTATACTGTGAATGATTGACACTGACCAATACTGTAAAATATTGACACTGGCCTATACTGTGAATGATTGACACTGACCAATACTGTAAAATATTGACACTGACCTATACTGTGAATGGTTGACACTGACCAATACTGTAAAATATTGACACTGACCTATACTGTGAAAGATTGACACTGACCTATACAGTGAATGATTGGCACTGGCCTATACTGTGAAAGATTGACACTGGCCTATACTGTGAATGATTGACACTGACCTATACTTTGAATGATTGACACTTGCCTATACTGTGAATGATTGACACTGACTTATACTGTGAATGATTGGCACTGGCCTATACTGTGAATGATTGACACTGACCAATACTGTAAAATATTGACACTGACCTATACTGTGAAAGATTGACACTGACCTATACTGTGAAAGATTGACACTGACCTATACAGTGAATGATTGGCGCTGGCCTATACTGTGAATTGGTAAACTGAGGCGCATCTTAAGTATGTGCAACTTTGTTAAAATAGTGGAAACTAAACTAAAACTAAACTATGTTTTTATGTTACAAGGGAAGGCCGACTGAGCTATACAGCTCTTTTTTAGGAGCGACCTGGCCATAAATCTCACCTCAATAAAGTGGCTTATCACGTGTAAATTGACAGCAGCCAAATATTCGAATGAAAGAAACGTACAAATTTATGTTTAACACGTAGGCTTTAGCGACCAATATTATTCATAATAAAGGTTTTTGGTTTAGATCGCGTTATTTATAAATAAGTCGTAACCCTCCACCACCCGACACGGCAAAACAGTAAAAATAGTGTCACGTGTACAAAAGACAATTAGTTCACTACTTTAGCCCACCAGTGTGTTGAAGAGTGAATCAACACATTTATGTTGTTGAAAATACAGTCTTGCATAACATTTAAAGACTCCACAAAACTGCATGCAACTGAGATGTACCCTGTAACGTCACGTTTATACTTTCTGTTTTAAACAAAAAAAGTTACTTCAATATAAGAAATATAGCATTTTGATTCATCAATTATTTCCTCGCAGACATACTGCGTGGACAGGCAAGTTCCCGAGTCTGCGTGCACGGCCACAGCCTTGCTGTGTGGGATAAAGAGCAACGCCAACACCATCGGGGTGTCCCACAGTGTGCAGTTCGAAGACTGTGGCACAATGAGCCCCCAGACCCAGGCCGACTCCATCCTCAAATTGGCGGCTCAAGCAGGTACCGCTGTGCGGCAAGGGAGCACCCGAGATGCAAACAAACCGTATGCATGCATGAGCGAGGGAATACGTGCACGTGTGAATGCACGCGTTAATAAATACGCGAATAGGTACACGCGCGGGACCATCGCCTCCCCTTGGCCACTTACGGGGAAAATGCAGGGCCAAAAAAAAAACTACGCCTTTACTTCCTTGTGAAAATGTCAAGAAAATCATTAAATGCATTAAAGGTGTTATTTGTGATTATCATTGGTCGGTAGCCAGATGAAATGAACTCACTGAGGCACATGAAGTATTGCCTCTTGCAAAGGACGACTTGGGTTACATCGTCATTTTATATATCTGCAAACTATAAAACAAAAACATTTAAATGTAATATTTAATGCTTGCCCTGAATATGGACTCGGTCTGACACTAGGCATTTAAATTCTGGCAGTGGTTTAGGATCACCAACAGATGAGCACTACTGTACATCTTCCCTGATAAAGCAGTCAAACACTGGAACTATTTGACTTTAATGTTTGTTATTACCCTATGGGGAGACTGATCCCCACCATAGGAATCAGGAATTTCCACCAATCACTGAGGAGTATCGAACTTTCATTTGAGCACGATGCATGAAGACACGTTCACCTTTCATCATTATTGTATTATTTGGAGAATTTACCAGATGGAATGTCCACACCAAAAAATGTCACATCAGCTCATTCTAATTCATGGTTGTCTCATGTTATCCAACACTCATTTGATACATGTAATATTTAAAAAAAGTGACTAAAGTTTTGCTTACGGTATATACTGAACTAACCAGCTCCAAGGATTTCAAGTGTTGTTATGCACAAACCTGACTTAAAAATCAGTGTGTTTACACAAAGTTGTCTCGTTTTAACTGAAGATATCATATTATGCTACTGTTTAGCCCTGAATCCTGTGCAGAGTCGTACACTTTTTAAAGCACGTCTCAGAATGTTCAATGTTTGCTGGCGAAGGGAATAGCAGGTGCAATGTCCCATGAAACGAAACATTCATTTATTAATGTATGCTTCATATTAAATAAAATAACTGCTCAAGGATAACCCTTCAACCAACAGTAGGGGTGTACATTTTTTTTATTGAAACGCTACACAGTAACAATTTGGCATGTTCCCTACCTTTGAACAATGCCAGTCACATGGATAAAGTGTCAAGCCTTCGCAATGAACGAGTGCAATTTAGTGCACATTTATAGAGAGGAATCCGATGAGCTCTGAAGCTCTTTTTTCACAGATGATCTATCCACTTTTGGGTGATGGTCTTCCACATCGTTGCTATCCCTTACGGTCCCTACAATGCCACAATCTATCTTGCACCTCCAATTAGCACTGTTGGCTACGTATGGGGCGAAATACGTTCAAAATACATTTGCATCATCACTCTGTCCCCAAAGTGGTCATCCTCTTAATGTGTGTTCTCTCTTTTGGCTGCCATTCTGTCACCACTCCCATCTATAAACCATCACCCCTTACAGCACTATACCCGAGCAAAGCACGCTCAGCATGTTTGTAATCAACATTTCTCTAATTAACATGTGCTCCTCTTTCAGTGTAATTTACACCACACGTCTCTTTGAAAACATTTCCGATGTCTGCCCGTGTTCTCTGTCAGAGTCCATGTTTCAGATTTATATGTCAGAGCACACAATATTCACTGATTGAAAAGTATTTTCACCAGGCACATCGGTCTGTTTCTGTTCATTATCAAATAAGTAAATAAAAGTTCCCAAACAACTCTATCCTGCGCTCGATTATCTCCTTATTCATCAATTGTATTGTTTCACCTCATAATTGATTGAGCTATACATGTGTAGTGTTCGATTTCACTCGGACAACTTCTGTCTTTCTCCGAACACCGCTTTATTTACAACTCTCAGCATGTCCACCACATTCCACAGTATCCTGGTCGCCACGGCTCGCTCACCGTGCTTCACTCGACTCGCTCGCCACCTTTGTCTCTCCACTCCCCACGATTACTTCGCTTATTCCCCACGATTACTTCGCTTACTCCGCCGCTAACTTCTTCATCTCCGCTCTCCGCTATCACCGTCGCTATGTTCTCTCCACTGCTAACTTCTTCGTCTTTGTTCACCGCTATCACCGTCACTATGCTCACTCCACTGCTAACTGCTTCATCTCTGTTCACCGCTATCACCGTCACTATGCTCACTCCACTGCTAACTGCTTCATCTCTGTTCACCGCTATCACCGTCACTATGCTCACTCCACTGCTAACTGCTTCATCCCTGTTCACCGCTATCACCGTCACTGTGCTCACTCCACTGCTGGCTATTCTCATCTCCAGCTCTGCTATCGCTACGCTCTCTCCACTGTGGGCTATTCTCGTCTTCAGCTCCGCTATCGCTACGCTCTCTCCACCGCTAACTACTTCGTCTTTGTTCAGCTTCGCTATCGCTATACTCTCTCCGCCGCTAAACTACTTCGTCTTTTTTTTTCTTCTTTGGTTCTTTCGGTAAAGTTACATAGAATGAGAATAAAATAATAAAATAACACAATAAAATTATCACGAAAGAACCAAAGAAGATGAATCCTTGCTGTCACGAAAGCTTCAAATCGAAATTTACTTTGTCTTTGTTCATCTTCGCAATCGCTACGCTCTCTCCAAGCTCCGTCTCCAACTCCGTCTCCCTTCCACTCTGTCTTCTAAACTCTTTCCCTCGAACTCTGTCTCTCAACCTCTGTCTTCCAAACTCTGTCTCTCAAACTCTCTACCCTTCAATTCCCCCTGTTGACTCCAAGCTCTCCAAACTCCAACTCCCCCAAGTTCTCCAACTTCAACCCATCTCCAAGCACTCCACCCTTCAACAACTCAACCCCCCACTGTTGACTCCAACTCCCGCTCTTATACCCGCTCTCATTACCCCCCCAATTAATTAACCCGCGTCCCAACGGCTCTCCGCGTGACCGTCACCTGTTTCTCGCCAGACTTCCAGACGCCCTTCCGGCCCTGACAACAGCACCAACCAATCACAGCCGTCCACAGCTCACTCAGCTTAATTGCCCAACATAACCTGCACTGTATTCGCCTTTGCTACAGGCTGACCCAAGATAACCCGTACTGTATTTGTTATCATGTAATCACACCGTTTCCACAACGCACCTTCGTACTCCACTACACATGTTATCTCGCCCCAATTACTTATTTATTTTCCAGTGCTTTTGTATGTAACTTTTGTTTTTGCTCATACTCAATCTTCGGCTCCACTTTTTTGCTATTAAGGTTTTTTTTCAATCAATGCCTTTAGTTCATCACCGTTGGTTGTAAAAAGTGTCATCAGCGTATCGGAAATGTTTAATACTTTTGTAGTGGTAATGATGGAGACCCAGTCTTCTCTGGCGGTAACACGTTTATTTGTAATGACAACACAAGTTCCCGACACAAAGGGATATAGCCTCCGGGCTAGCATGTCCTACTCACTGGGACCATCCTTAAATATCTCAGCCCTCCGGCTAGGGAGACCTAGGGGAGGCGAGCTTGACTCGACCCAGCCAAGGTCCTCGGGTCCCGGCCACTGGTCCACTCAGTTTCGGCCCTTAGAAGAACGTCGGGTCCGGGGGTTCCCAGGGTCCTATTCTAGGTTGGCTCTTCAGGTCTTCAGCTTGACAACGACTGGCAAACCCGTTCAGAGGTCCAGCTTATATACAGCTCCCAGGGTCACTCCGCCCCTGGCCACGCCTACTCTCTAGAAGCTTCTGTAGGGACCTGGACTATTGTGTAATCCCTCAGCCCCCACTGGGGGCCTGGGGTGTGTACCTCCGGTTTCCAACCACCCTCTGGGTTCCTGGCCTAACTGCCTTACTTCGTACAGGCCGGACTCACTGTTGCCCCCTGTTGACCCATGGCTGGCGCTACACCAGGTCAGTAGTGGTGACGGCTGATTACGCTAAAAATACCCAACTACACTTTTACCACTTATTTGCCTTTATTTCTCCAATCCAATTATAGCCTTCGGCGGAGGGTATCATCACCTTCCTTGACTGCTCTTTTATATTTGGTTAATTTATACAATCTCAGTAAAACTGTTCACTGTTTTATATTTTTACTTTTATTATAAAGCCTTCAGTTTGTGAGAGCCTGGATGACTGCATCAATATCCACTGAAATAAAATGCCTTTTCCTAGTCTGCTATACCAGGCATAATTGCATTTAAACACAAACTTATAATGGAAAAAATCTAATGTTGGCGAGTGTTTCCTGTGTTTTTTTTTTGCTTCAGAGCAGAAGGCAAGTCCATGGGAAAAAAAATTGTATCTTGTGGGGAATTAAAAAAAATACTTTCACCTATGGACCAGAACATCAATCCCTTTCAAAATTCCGCAGCCACAAAGCATCCTTGAAGCGTTTGTTGGGAGTGGGTTAAAAAAATACCGAGGCAACAAAACTAAAATACAAGCAAATGGCACAAATATTAATTCGACATTTAGTCAACGACCTTTTGAAGCCATTTCAGGTGAAATAGTGGTTATATATATTTTAAAGGATGCTTCAAAACCACGGAGGTGACGCGAATCCAGCAACCGCGCTGGTTATTACTGCGGCTGTAACAACCATAATAATACTGTACACCGTTTGCTTCAAAGCGGAAGTCAAAGAGCCCCTGATGTAATTCGCAAGAGCAGGGCCACTGTGTGCTGGCTGTGTGCCGGCATCGAGGTCCAAATTTCGAAAATTACACCGAAAATTATTCAATCGCCCCTTACTTGCAGATTAATGCCCCAGGTTCACTCTTACCAATAAGACATCCTGGTATCTTGAGTTCTTAGTTGGTTAAAATAAACTTTAATTAACATATAATTTTTTATTAGCAGTGGTGTCTGAACGTCAGGCTACTTTTACTTTACAACTGCTTTATAAAATATGTAAAATGTCAACATGTTTAGGCTATTTAAATGTATTGAGTTATTCATTTTCTGACAGAAACTTAGCGCTCTGACAATTCTGTTACCCTCCTGGGCCACTTCCCCATCTGCCTGTGGAATTGTTTCTTCAGTAGTGGAGACAGAGGTGCAGCTTACCCATCTGGGGCCCTAAGCATAAATTATGTTTGGAGGGCTCCCTCCTATTTAAATGTAGCATGTTCTTGCATGTGTAGTGTAATAGCGCAAGCTGGTGGACAGCAGCAGCAACTGTAGTGGACAGATAGTACACACGCCAGTGAGGGTGTGACACGGTGTGTGTTGACAGAGAGGAGGAACTAGGGTAAGGGTCTTGGAGGACCTTACCTGGAACCTGCTAGCGGGTTCGAGATGGGAGGCGCGGTCAGGGCAGAGCCAGGCCGCGCTGGGAGCATAAAAGGAGCCAAGAGCGGGGGGCTCGAGGCTGCCGGTTCTGGGAGTGGACTCGTCCCGTCGTCGCTGTCGTTTTGTCACTGTCATCGCTAAACGTCTCCGCTAGATATTGCGCTATGAAGATAGTAGTTTGCTATCTCAGTCAGTGCTGTCAGTGTTAGACGGCGAGTCTTTTTTTACAGGCTAGGCTAAGCTACTGTGGAGAGTGTGTGGACGAGACCATGGGAGTTGTTAATAAAGAAAGTGCCTCCTAGAAACTGTCTCTAAATCGTTGACACTACACGTATATTATGTTAAACTTCTTTCCCTCCATACATAACCGACCATGCTAATCAGGGGTGCGGGGAAAGGACAACAAAGTAAACAGTTTAAAAACAAAAATTCAATCTAGATTTAAAAGTGCATACCTCAAGTGGCTTCCTAATATCGGAAGGAAGAGCATTACAGATGGCCGCAGAAGCGCATCTGAAAGCACAGAAGTGCATCTTGTATGTGGTACGTTCTAGTTTGTGGTGTTTGCTCGTATGTGATGCGCGGTATGTATGTGACGTGTTCTCGTATGTGACATGCTGCTAGTATGTGACGTGTTCTCATATGTTATATGCCGCTAGTATGCGGCGTGCCGCTAGTATGCAATGTGTGCTCATATGTTACATGCCGCTAGTATGCGACGTGTGCTCATATGTTACATACTACTATTATGCAATGTGTGCTCGTATGTAACATGCTGCTAGTATGCGACGTGGGGAAGAAGATGACAACCTGCTCGCGGTCTTCCCTGCTACATGCAAAAGCACAATGAATGTCATCACACCGGCGGCTGAATGCCTGACAAAGGTATTCTGGCCTGAAAAGCAACAGTACAGAGAGCATTTCACAAGGTCAGAGCAATGTGAATGTCGGTCCGTCGCTACGAATCATGCAGCTTATCATCGAGCACTTCTCCAGTGCGAAATGTGATTACATCGCGAAGATTCTCCAGTTTCAAGACGTCGACGTCCTTGCACTGGAAGATGCGCATCTGATTGACAGTGCCCTTGATCAAAGATAATCGGATACACTCTCATTGCTGCAAGCCACCATCCGAAACATGGCCTTGCAATATATGTAAAGAACGACCTGAAGGACACGGTCGAGGTCGTGCCACACACCTCGCCACACTACATCGCCATCAAGATCAATGACGTGACAGTGGTCAATGTCTACAAGCCTCCAGGTATGGAATGGCCGTGTCCAGCATTACCGCAGCCAAACCACCCTATCATCCACATAGACGACTTCAACAGCCACCACACTTTGTGGGGCTATAGCGCCAACGATAGAGCTGGTGAACAACTGACATCATGGGCAGCGGCAGAAGACCAGCACTTGCTCTATGACGCAAAAGACCGCGGTGCTTTCAAGTCGGCGAGGTGGAAAACGTTCTATAAGCCCGATTTATGTTTTTTGTCTCTGGACCAGAACGGAAATCCGATGCCGTTGACGAGAACAATCCTAGACGACTTTCCAAATAGCCATCATAGACCTGTAGTGATCCATATTGGTCTTCAAATTCCGCTCTTCCACTGCAGACCAAAAACGCATTGGAATCTGAGATCAGCTGAATGGGTGAATTTCACTGCTGACTTGGAAGAATAAGTTGGAATGATACCTCAACATGCAGTCAACTACCTTCACTTCGTTGGTCTCATCAAGGCAGTTGCCAAGGCCAACATCGCAAGAGGCTTCAGAAAGGTCTTCACTCTATGTTGGACTCCAGAAGGCGAACAGCTTTTCCGGAAATTCCATGCTGATAAGAATCATGAGACTGTAAAAGCAAAGAAGAGAAAGGTGGCGTGAAAGAGTTGAGGCACTTTACTTTGCAAAATAGATCCGTAAAGCCTGGCACCTCCTGAGGTTGATGGGAGCTGCTGCAATGCCAGCCTGTCAACCTCCGCAAGTCAGTCCTGCCGAGATTGCTAGGCAACTTATCAACAATTCACAAACTTCAATCGACAAAAGCATAAGACGGCAAGTTTACAAATAACTTTATTGCACCTTGACTTAAGGCATTCGTGACTGCAATAAGTAATATTCTTTGGTCCCCCCCCCCTTTTTCCTGATTACGACCACTTGTGTTACGATCGAAATGTCGTATTTTTGTTTTTTTGGTTATTTTCTTTGAACCTATCTACATGACTTTACCGAAAGACCCAAAAGAATAACTTTATTGCACACTAGATAACTGCCAAGAAGCCTCTGAATTCTCCTGTCCATTCTCAGTGGAGGAAGTAGATGCCGGTATTCCCCAGTTGAAATGCGGGAAAGCCTCAGGTCTTTACGGTATGTATCCAGAATTCATCAATAACTTGGGACCAAGAGCAAGAAAATGGCTAGCCACATTCTTCACTGACATCCATTCCAGAAGCATTGTTCTGAAGGAGTGAAAATAATCAAGGCAAGGACGCATCGGACACTCAAAACTACCCCCCTACTCAGCATTTGCTACGAACTAATGGAGCAGCTTCTGCTCAAAGGCTGATGCCAACACTTGAGGAAATAGTTCCCCAGGAACAAGCAGGATTTAGAACTGACCGAAATTGTTGCGACCAACTCAACACACCAACTCAAAACAGCGACAGCTTTCATCGACCTCTCTTCAGCTTACGATACCGTATGGCGGAAGGGACTCCTGCTGAAGCTTGCGAAAGCCGTGCCTTGCCACCCGACAATTAGACTAATCACCAAAATGCTGAGCAACCGATGGTTCACCATCCACCTTGGTGAAGCTGCCAGCAGCCCACGAAGATTGAACAATGGACTCCCGCAGGGATCAGTTCTGGCACTAGCGCTGTTCAATCTCTATACTAGCGACATTCCAGTGACATCTTGCCGTAAGTTCACATATGCGGATGATATCACACTCGCAACTCAAGCACGGAAAATGGAGGACTCTGAGGCTGTCCTCGAAAAAGATCTGAAGACTCTGGAAGAATACTTCAAGAATTGGCAGCTTAAGCCTAACCCATCGAAGAGCGTCGTCTCTGCCTTCCACCTGAACAACAGACACGCTTCGAAAACGTTGAACGTTAACTTCTGTGGGGTGAAGCTAAGGCATGATGAACGAAAGCACGAGTAGATATTATTCAGAAACTTGCAGGAACAACCTGGGGAAGCGATGCCAGCAGGTTGAAGATATCGACGTAGGCGCTTGTTCACTCCACTGCAGAGTACCGTGCCCCAGTGTGGGGTGCAAGCCCTCACACGAACCTTGTCGATGCCTTAATTAACAACGTGCTTCGTATCATCAACGGTTCCCTAAACTCTACTCCACTCCCGTGGCTTCCTGTGCTGGCGAATATCACTCCAGCCAACATGGTCTGAATCATGGGCGGCTATGGACGAGGCAAATAAAAACATAATTCATGATCTGACGGTGGAAGTACCGGGATTCTCTCTTCTCACGACGACTATGGACCACGCTGAACCGTGCTCAAACACAACACGGCAGATGCGCGTACACGTTCCATGAATGGAAGATCAAAGAATCGCCCAACTGCGACTGTGAAGAAGTTCAAACCATCAAGCACATCACCGATGAATGCTCCATCCATGCACATCCTGGCGGTATCGGTGAAATCCACACTGCGTCAACCACATCATTGCACTGGATGAGGAACCTTTGCATTAATTTATGACGATCATTAAGAAAAAATAAAAACTGTTGCTTTTCACAATGCCATAAGAAAGAAGAAGTATGCGATGTGTGCTCGTATGTTACATGCTGCTAGTGTGTAGCGTGTGCTTGTACGTGGCGTGTTCAGGGAAGACAACGGGGCTAATCAGCACGGCACGGGTGACGCACGCAACCCCGGCACCGCTGTATGGGCACTCGCCCAGCCGCGCATGGGAGCACCACGTACCGGCCCCCGCACGTGACCTCGGCTGCCAGGACTTGGCCACGCAGCTGCTGCAGCACAGCGAGCACATTCAGGTGATGGAGCTGTATCTGTATACACTGCCATAGAACTGAAATATATATATACACACACTCGGGTTGCGTTCATAATTTTCAAATGAATAAAAAAATGGAAAATTGAGGCGAGATACTAAATTGCTTACAATTAAAAAAAATATACAACCAGAAAAGTTAAACTTACGCAACGTGAATTTTACATCCAAACACATGACTCATGTATACAGTACGGATTAATTAAAATGAAAAGATTTCAGATTTTGGATTTTGAAGGCAATTTTCGATAGTTTTCTTAGTTTTTGAGTTTTGGATAATTTAGAAGAATGTAATGTCCTGTATCTTCATGTATGCAGAGGTAAAATGTAATGTGTGATCTTATGTTTTGAGAAAAAAACAATCTAATCAACTGAAATTTCGTATCTAGGCCTGATTTGTGTATTTTCAGATCTTACAGAGCCATCAGATTAATCTGAAAATCAGTATCACATCCTTAATATATAGAAATGCCCTGATGCTTCAGGCAATTGACATACTCCAAACATATTCTTGGTTCTTTCGGTAAAGTCACGTAGAAGGGAAACAATAACATAATACAAATATAAAACAATAAAATTCTCACGACGTTTCGACTGCAACACAAGCAATCATCATCAGGTGTGAAAACCACAGCAAGAAAATTTGAAAAAAGTGGCGGTTATTTTTAACGTTAGCACCACGGAGAGCGATTATTTTGTTGTTTCCCTTCTAAGTGACTTTACCGAAAGAACCAATAATATGAATCCCTGCAGTCACGAAAGCTTTAAATAAAAAAAATACTCCAAACAATTACATATGTTTTAATTATTAGACAGCTAGTGATAAGTGTTGTGTTGATTATGTGTGATTTGTTTTGAAATCCTGTCTATGATTTAAACACGGTATGAACAGAATATCAAGTGAATAACAAAAAGCACGTGAGCAGCTCATGATGGACAAATGTACAAATATAGATTATGTAACCTTAATCGTAGCTCTGCTCTGTATGTTATTGTATAGCGCATCATTTTAGTGACATTGACATCACATTGCTTATGTTGATTCAATGAGGATGAGACAACTGCATACATTGGATTTCCACCACTGATTACCCCTGGTATGGAGGGTTTCAAAGACTCAAATAAAATATACCATCACATGGTCTGCTACAAGTCGTACAGAGCCATCAATATACATGGAACCCAACTCAGGGCTAACTACTGTACATGCAGTGTTGTATAATGTCCCCCCACTATTGCTAAGTACTGATTTGATGGGCATAGTGGTGCATGCCCGTGCTTTTGAGAGATGGTTGGTGGATCCGACGTAGGTTATCATGTACCCAACATCCTCAGTTGGAAGAAGACCAGGAGATGGCACAACGGCAAGTGAGTTTTGGCTCATCTGTACAGATAGGGTGGGGGGGGGGTTATCTTCTCATCCACTTGATTTTCACAACATTCATTCCCCGTATAAAATACTCCTTGGAAAAAAAAACTATTTACCAAATATCCCAATACCGAACCCAATTGCATGATGACATAATTACAGCATGCGATACAGACCCCGGTAATTACACAATGTAATATAAGCATCATTTGGGCTTTTGTAGTTTGTAATGTGGTTTCAGAGCAGGTTGCGGTGACATGTAAACGATCCCTATATATGCTTGTGCTGTTCTTGTAATTCCATTCTCCATCACCCTTATGTATACTTATTAATAGGTTTTTTTTTTCTCCCATTATTCCATTCGCGTGGATTTGTTTGTTTCAGACAAATACATCACTTTGGCAGAGTCTTTCGGACACTTCTAGTCAGCTCATCAGACTTTGATGAGAGTTGTTGTTAAGCTGTGGAGTATTAAATGCATTGTCGTCTCAAGTGCCTCCAATGCCTGTTTGGCACCATAATTACTCAGCAGATCTGAACCACTTGAATGTTTGTCTCGTCATCAGTTAATCGGCTGAGCCAATCAAAATCAGTGTCAATGGAACACATTTTTTTATAACATGCAGAAACCTGGGAATTGAACAATAATTTCACAAATTTGGGAACACAAAGCCACGTTGCTTCTGATCCATCTTAATTAGAGTAATTATTGTGAAAGGTAACTGAAGGTTTTCAATACCTACCTACCAGCTGGTACGTGTTGTATGCAATGAGCTAGGTGTAATTTTTTCGGAAAGTGCAGTATATAAAATTAAATAATATAAGCATATCAAATAAATAAAACATTCAAAGCGACATGTGTGTGTCTACATCTGTCAAAACGTGACCATATTTGCAGTTGCTCATTTATAACTATCACATTTGAAATTAAAAGCTGTCTGTTTGGGATTTTCGCCGTTTTTAAGCCGCAGGCTTGTCACAGTTTGTGAGTCAGTGGAGCTTTATGCACCAAATTCCACTCTGCAGATATAAATATTAAAGTGAGAAAACATGTATATGGAATATGGCATAATTAGCTACATTGTATTTAAATGTAACAGAAAACTTTTGAAACACAGGTGGAATAGACCAGACCCTGAGAATTGTTTTAATGGATTTGGTAAATGGATAGATTAACATTCATCACGCTAAAACATTGATCAGTTTTCATCGAGTTGCCAGTTTTGTTCTGGTCACCACCTGGTAATATATTTGCGATAAATGTATTGATAAAACTCCTTATACAAGGTGGATGGTTGGCTCAGGTGTCTGGGTTCAGATCCAGATAGCTGCCAATGAATAAACCGGGTTCTTAATGGTCACAGCCTGGTAACCAATGACTTGGAAAAAAAAATATATAGTTGACTTATTTATCCAGGAAAGCCACACTGAGACGTAGGACTCTTTTATCGGGAGGATCGTACATTGGTTTTGTATTTTAATGTTTATACGTGTAGGAGGAAACAAGAGCATCCGGAGAAAACCCATGCACACAAGGGGGCAACACGATCCCCCTACATCAGTGGCTCTCAACATTTTCTGTAGCCTGCACCCCTTTGGTTCTTGGTTCTGAATCGTTAATTTATTTTTGTTGTAATGTTAATAATACATAGGTTTGATGAAATAAAGTAGTTGTACTTACGTCCCGTGCTTCATTTGTTCCGCACTCCCAGGGGTGCGAGAGGCTAAATTACAGTTTTGATACTTGACCATTTCATGGAAACTGATTTTCTGAAACTTAATTCGATGCCAATGATCCTGAAAAAAGTTAACCTCCTTTTGCTGGCTTTAAAGCAACAACAACAAGCGCCACCACGCTGGTGGCCAGGTGCCTCTGAAGCTCACAACTCATGCCAAGCACTGAAACAACACCACCGAGTTTCTGGGTTTGAATCTGGGCAAGCAAAATACTGTACTCAAAAGTATAGTCATCTGGTGGCCTGATCATAGTCATCAGTGACTGCCTCGATGAATACGTATTTTTTTTATTTCATTTACACGTGACAGTCTTGGCAGAGCATATGTAGGTTGTGCCCCTAGTGTGGATATTGAGGCCTATTGGAGTAAGTGCAGATCTAGTTTTGGGGGTGTCGTCATGTCGAAAGAGGTATTCTCTGATACAAGGCGATCCACTGCTTCATGTAATAATTTCTTCATGAAATGTCTTCATCTCTCGATGTGATGCTGATAAGCACAATTACAATACAATTTGGAATTATGAAAAATGTTAACTACATTCATAGTGGTGTATTAGCTATTGATATATAATATGATCCAGATATTTTTACACATTGCAATATCCGTACTTTATTGGGCGTTATTAATTACAAAATGTTCGGGTGTCTGCCCAGTCATGCATTTGTTCATTAAGTTGCAACATATTCTCCGAGTCATTATCACATTTTGAAATGAGGTTACAGATTTTAACATTAAAAACTCTGTGACATTAAGGTGTCACATAAAATGACAATATGATGAATAGCATTTGTTTGTATAAAGAGACTTATCAAAGTATCACGGAAACCTAGCATTTCACGTAGTTAATTAAGAATGTATTATATTTTGGAAAGAAACGTTATTAAACATTTTAAAGATCTCTTATAACTAAACATGATTAATGAATGGCAATGTGATAAAAAATGCAATTCTTGAATTTTCAGTGCTCAACTCGTGTGGCAGATATATTTAATGCATTACCGTAAATTTCACATACAGCACCATCCATCATTAATTTCACCATGCAATTTACTATTGACGGCGGATAAAATTATTATTTTTTAACTAGGGTACCACATTCTCTCATTAAGGGCGGGTTTCATTATCTTTATATATTACAATTATGAAACCACAATTTACGTGATATCATTTTCTAATGTAAATGAGACTCATTTAGCTAAAGTGTGATAAACAGGGCTAATCTGGATTAGACAAAACCCGCCATGAGGAGGGTGGGGCATTTAACTGTGCATCTCATTTTAGCAGCACATATTGTATTATGGGTCTGTGGGGGGTAATGCCCCCCTCCCCACTCCCCATTATGTGGGGCCTGATCTCCCCCTCCCTCACCACGAGGGGGGGGGGGGGCGCCACGTTTACTTGGTGGGGGCTGATGCCCCCCCCTTCACTCCCCATTAAGTGGGGGCCGAGCTCCCCCTCACCCACCCCGGGCTGGGGGGGCGCCACTTCTAATTGGTGGGGGCTGATGCCCTCCCCCCCACCCGCCATTGGGGGGGGGGAGGTCAATCACCTCCTCCCCCTCCTCGCGCGTCCTAACCGCGTGGATTACGTAATTGTTTGACTCGCCGCTGTGTGGGGATTAATTAATAATTTACACTAAGACGTTGTGTCAACAAGGCGAACGCTCCCGCGTGGTCCGAATATTAATAAATTAATCGGCGTTCACGCGCCCCCCACCCACTCACGTGTGTCTCACCGTTAACACTGCGGTGAGACACACAGACACACGTGACACGTGTGTTTCACCATTAACACTGCGGTGAGACACACAGACACACGTGACACGTGTGTCTCACCTTTAACACTGCGGTGAGACACACAGACACACGTGACACTCACGTGTGTCTCACCGTTAACACTGCGGTGAGACACGCACAGACACTGGTGACACTCACGTGTGTCTCACCGTTAACACTGCGGTGAGACACGCACAGACACTGGTGACACTCACGTGTGTCTCACCGTTAACACTGCGGTGAGACACACAGACACACTAGTGACACTCACGTGTGTCTCACCGTTAACACTGCGGTGAGACACGCACAGACACTAGTGACACGTGTGTCTCACCGTTAACACTGTGGTGCACACACAGACACACTAGTGACACTCACGTGTGTCTCACCGTTAACACTGCGGTGAGACACGCACAGACACTAGTGACACGTGTGTCTCACTGTTAACACTGTGGTGCATACACAGACACACGTGACACTCACGTGTGTCTCACCGTTAACACTGTGGTGAGACACACACAGACACTAGTGACACTCACGTGTGTCTCACCGTTAACACTGTGGTGCACACATAGACACACGTGACACTCACGTGTGTCTCACCTTTAACACTGCGGTGTGCACACAGACACACTAGTGACATTCACGTGTGTCTCACCGTTAACGCCGTGGTGCACGTACAGACACACGTGACACTCACGTGTGTCTCACCGTTAACACTGTGGTGCACACACAGACACTAGTGACACTCACGTGTGTCTCACCGTTAACACTGTGGTGCACACACAGACACACTAGTGACACTCACGTGTGTCTCACCGTTAACACCGTGGTGCACACACAGACACTAGTGACACTCACGTGTGTCTCACCGTTAACACTGCGGTGAGACACGCACAGACACTAGTGACACTCACGTGTGTCTCACCGTTAACACTGCGGTGAGACACACAGACACACGTGACACTCACGTGTGTCTCACCGTTAACACTGTGGTGCACGCACAGACACACTAGTGACACTCACGTGTGTCTCACCGTTAACACTGCGGTGCACACATAGACACACGTGACACTCACGTGTGACACTCACGTGTGTCTCACCGTTAACACTGTGGTGAGACACACATACACTAGTGACACTCACGTGTGTCTCACCGTTAACACTGTGGTGCACACACAGACACACTAGTGACACTCACGTGTGTCTCACCTTTAACACTGCGGTGTGCACACAGACACACTAGTGACATTCACGTGTGTCTCACCGTTAACACTGTGATGCTCCCATAGACACACTAGTGACACTCACGTGTGTCTCACCGTTAACACTGTGGTGCATACACAGACACTAGTGACACTCACGTGTGTCTCACCGTTAACACTGTGATGCTCCCATAGACACGCGCCGGCGCGGGCCACCGTTGATATTTTAATATGCGCGCGCGTCACACCCACACTGACTTATAGTCACCCACACACCGTCGTACGCCGATCGCTGTCCCACCGCTCTTCACACGCACACATGCACCACGCGTCAAACGTCAGTCTGTGCTAAGATTTATTTCCCGGAGCGAATAGGGGACCCCTGTTTATGGCCCCCTCCAGCCAGCACCCTTCGGACAGCGCCTAACCTCCTATCACCTGGCCGTCGCAGACTGCGTCTATCCTCCAAGCTCGAGCTGACTGCGAGCTGGGCTGAATTGGCCCCCTCCCCCCGTACTGACCCACCTTTCCAGCTGCACGATGGGGGTTGGGGAAGATGCCCGCCTCGGAGACTTTGCCTGGGCAATCTTTTCAGCTGCACCCTGCAGGCGTCCCACGGACGCTGAGGGCGGCTGGTGTTCTCTCCCACTCCAGAAAAAACTCTGATCCAATTTGCCCTCCTTCCACCCTTATGTTCCCAAAGCCCGTTAATCCCCGGGTTATATGATGTCATCCTGAGCATCCAATCAAATCCTCTTATACGGCCGTTTTGAGCGCTCTATACCTGCGTTCCCCGCCGTTGACTCACCGATAATCCCCACGCTCCCTCCAACTTAAATCAACTCTTATATACCTAGTGGCTTTTCCCTCCCACCCCACTGTTTACACTGCCGCTGGGTACTGGCTGAAGGTCCCCCCCCCCCGTGTTGTGTATGCTTCATTGCGGCTGGCCTGTAAAGCTCTATGCCCTCTTTTAGGGGGGCCGCCATGTAATCTGGTCTGGGGGGCTCAGCCAAATTCCTGGTCCGGGGAAACCGTGGAACGTCCCTGTTAATGGGGTCCTCGGGTGAAAACCCATCGTACCAGGTGATCCCTCCTCGAGACCTTACGGGGGTGCATGCGAGTGTTTAGTGGGGTGTGCGTGCGTTCGTGGGGGGGGGGGGGGGGGGGGTGCAAGGATAGGGTAGCAAGGATAGGGTAGTGCCGGCCGAGCTGCTTCGCTGCGGTGGCACCACAGGTCACCTGTAGATGCTCTACATAAGCCATACGGAATAATACAATGGGTTGTCGAGGGTAAATGTGGACCATGGCTATACACAACACAGTTATATGATCCATTCAGAGACCCCTCTCTGAGGTTTCAGAGAGGGGTCTTTGAATTAGGCGCCACGGTGGCGAGATGTTAACTACCTCCCCTCGTATGCAGGAGGTCGTGGGTTCGAATCTGGCTAATCGCCTAATGAAACTGGTTGTAATCGCGAGCAAAACTTCGTGCTCGAATTGTATATGGTGTGGGTATACTTTCCAACACACCGGTGTGCTGAAGTAGTAACTGTTTGGCACGTTTTGTATACGTGACAAATCTTACTAATTGGCTGTGTTGGGTGGTGGCAGGTGTTTAACGATACATTTACAGTTGTGTGATCTAACCTAAAAAAAAAACCTTTATTGTGAATAGCAAACTTACGTTTGATTATTACCTATCATACTTGCTTAGAACAAAGCTTTAATTTTTCTGGCTCGATAATCTGCTTGGATTCCTGTTAGTCTGGGTGACGCTCGCCTAACTGCGCGTGCACGGTAGGCGCGGTCTACGGCCATGTCTGCGTGATGATGTCACCCACAGCGTGCTAGCGTCAAGCATCCCAACCCCATCCACCCGTGGATCCCGTGCAAATGCAAGGGAACAGAGGGGGAGGGTTGAAGGAGCAGGATAGAGGCATGGGGGAAGGAGGAGAGGGAGATAGAGGAGGAAGATATAGGAGAGACAGGGGGCAGGGAGGATAGGGACATAGAGGAGGAAGAGACAGAGATGAGAGGGGCGGGGAGAGGGTGAAAGGGCATGCATTGGTGAGAAGAGAGACCAAAACTGAATGTCGACAGCGAAGGAACGTGGTAAGCATTGGGAGAGAGGATTAGTAGGGGCAAGAAAGATTGAGATAGAAAAGGAGAGATGGGAATTAGGAGAGTGAGGGCGAGAGATATAAACAGGCAGAGAGAGAGGGGAAGTGGGCAAAATAGAGTGGAGTTAGAAGAGGGGACAGGGGAATAGAGAAACAGAGACAGCTAGAAATTGATATAAATTGCGACATACAATATAGAAGGCAAGATAAAGGTGGAGAGGCAGGGCTCTATGTACATTTTACATTTTGCTGGCTGGCTGGGAGGGATGGGTAGACGCACACATCCAAAGGACGTGCGGGTTGCGTTTTTACTACATTATGATTATTCGTAATTTGACATGGGGTGGTGACATACCCCAGTGATAGTGTGTTCAATGGACATACAATTTCACTAATTTGCCTCCTCTTTGTGGTGTGATACACCTTCTTCAAGGGTAGCTTATGCATGCTTCTTTAGAACGCAACACGTACGCAGTGTATTAACTCGCATCTATTATGCGTTCCCAGGTCATTCTTGGTGGCGGTCGGAGTAATTTTTTCCCGAGCTCTGTGAAGGATCCTGAATACCCAGAGACGCACGTGGGAAAGAGGCAGGATGGACGGAACCTCGTGCATGAGTGGCTTGCTCGCACGTGGGGTAAAAAATCTGACTACGTTTGGACAAAGAAGGACTTTGAAAATATTAACCCCGAGGACACGAATTACCTTCTTGGTATGTATTTAAACATATTGGTCAGTTACACCCAAGCTTAACAAATCTATGCAGAAGATTCAGTTTCTTTTTTATTTTGCAAGCCTATAATTGTTAAAGCAGTCGTTTAAATCAGGTCAATTTGGTAAAAAAAACATTGCACAAATTATTGATGGAAATACAATAAATTGCATTGGCATTTAAAGTGCATTTGCACTAAATATAGATGTTTATTTAATCAACACATCTAAATGTAAATTATCTTTGCAAGTACAGAGCAAACACTAGTGTTTAAATTTTTCTCAATTAATGTGATTTGGTTCGGAAAGTAGTGGAGAATAAAAACAAATGCCAGTGTGATTAATGCAAAATAAAGCCGGCGGTGTATAACCTTACAAATAGTTTCCTTTATCTATTAAGCCAATAATGAAACATCTGTTACATCCTGCGAACCTAATACTAGCGTGGTAATATTAATTCCCAATTCCAAATAAATCCGTCGCATGGAGATTTATTGCACGCAAAAGTGTCACGAGAAGAGCTCTTTTTCAGTAATAGTGGCCCTACGCGCGTCATATTGCCCTGCAATCAGAAGTTATGCCGCTCACATGTGAAGTCGCTGCCTTAGTGAATTGGCACAGCTGTTGTTAATAATCCGCAGAGCATTCACCTTCCTCTGGAATGTCGCCTATTGTTGAGTGTGTCCGCCCGATGGTGATATCTCCCTGCATTTGAATAGCCCTCCGTGAAAGAAAAAAAAAGTCAAGCCTCGTGAAAAAGCATTTCAAAACCATGATCTAAGTCGTGCCATGTCATTGGTAACTTCAGGGCAGACAGCTCCCTTGTCGCGTTTACAATGTCTCCTTGCCTCCTGGAGAGCCTAGACATGATCAAATTTGAATTCATGCTTAATTTAGTGTTTTTTACTCTTGACCAGAAGTGTGACAATAATCTAAGCAGATGCTTCTCATTTAATCTATAGCCAACACCTGCCATGGGGAAACTTTAATCCATATTACTCATTCTTTTGCCAACAATTGTTAATTATCTTTAAGACAAATATTTTCCCCTGACATGGATCACAAAAGCTGCGCATACATTTGTTTTGTTTTCCTCTCTTCTCATTGAACCGAGAGTTAAAGAGTAAAGTATTAGATGTTATCAGTTATATTGAATGCCTTTGTTTAACCATAATTAACAATGTATTCAGTATTTAAGCCTTAGTAAGTGGTCTCTGTGTGTCTATGTTGTGGTTCTCTCTCTGTGTCTATGTATTGTCTCTCTCTGCTTTTGTGTCTGTCTGTGTGTGTCTCCGTTTCTGTGTTTTGTCTCTCTCTCAAATTTAGTTCTACCTGATGACGACTGCTTGTGTTGCAATCGAAACGTCGTACTCTATTTTTTAATTTATTTTCTTTCTACGTGATTTTACCGAAATAACCAAATAGTAAGCCTTAGTATATAACAAAACATATAAGTGTAAAATATTTAACAACAATACCAATCAAGTCAAGTCAAATGGTTTAAATGTTCAATTTAACATTGGAGCTATGCTCGTGTACATTGGCAATCCTGAGCCAACTGGAGAAATTCCACATCATGGCAGGGATGCTTTCACAAATTACTACTTATTTTGTCGACCATGGTAGGATTGTTGGCTGAGCTCTGAATGGAATTTTAACTGGGAACTTTTCAATTGTGATATGACTAAGACTTGCCGCAGAGCTTCGTAGCTAGATTAAATCACCGTACACAATTCACCCACATAAATAAACTGTCATCAAACAATGCCGCAATCTCTCTGGCTTCTAACCCATGCCCTGATCTCATCCCTCCATCTCTGAGGTAGTTGTGCTCTAGGACATGTTCCCTCCTTTGGCCACCAATCAATCACTATTCTCGTCCATTGGCTAACATCCTTAATAGCAATGTGTTCTAGCCAATAGCACATGTTTTCACCAGTCGACATGGCGTGTCGAATTTGCAGTTTTTTATGTTTTACACTTTCTGTCTATTCTCCTCTGCCCGCTTCCCTCCCTTTCACAACTATTCTCACATTTTGATCTGTCAAGAGCACCACACCAAACCGACTGGAGAATATTTTGTGATGACAAAGATTTGTGAAGTTAACAAATGTTTTTTGGGGAAAAATAAACGAGTCTAAATGCACCTTGAAAGCAGGCGCATGCTTTCTATAGTATGCACACACACACAGCGTGGACTTGACTTTATTTTTTATTTTAGGCCTTTAAGCAACAAAAAACATATAAAAGTCTGGTGGAACAGTAATGCGAGTGAGAGGGCACACGTAAGATATATAATTCTGTAGTCCCTAAACATATGTGGAAATGCAAGAGGAACTAGAGAACTATGATAGGTAAGTGGAGACAGAGCGAAGAACAGAAGATGATGGCAAAGAAGAAAGAGGGGAGGAATGAGCGAAATCAGTTTTGGCTAACGCATGCATAATGGTGACCATTTTTGGTTTACATCGCCAATGATCTCTGCAACAGGTCTCCCAGATGTCCCAGTGTGCGAATTTATTGAGTTGCCTTAACTTGTCATAATGTTAATAATGGAAAGGAGTGTCGTGCGTGTCCCTTTCCAGGACTCTTTGAGCCGGGACATATGGGATGGGCTCCCAGCCACCTTGAACGGAATGACCCGTCCCTGGCAGAAATGGTGGAAAAGAGTCTGAAGATCCTGCAGAAGAACAAGCATGGCTTTTTCCTCTTTGTTGAAGGTTTTATATTCTTTATTATGTGAAATATATTAATACTATTTGTTTTCATTACTTATACATAGTGCTTTACTGTATGCAACGATAACATACATTCAGACAGACCATCTCACAGGCAATTCCATATTTTGCAAAAAGTTCGTGGCAAATATGTTTATAATATTTAAATTTCGATTTAAAGCTTTCGTGACTGCAATGATTCATCTTCTTTGGTTCTTTCGGTAAAGTCACGTAGAATGAGAATAAAATTTTATCAATTTATTATAATAAATTTATCAATTTATTATTTTATTCTCATTCTACGTGACTTTACCGAAAGAACCAAAGAAGATGTTTATAATAACTAGCAGGAACAGGAAGTCATCACACCTCTCTTCACCTCTCCAGTGCCTCTTGACGTAATCACACTTCTCTGCCACCTTGCTGCCCCATGTCTCGTGACGTCATCACCCACATTCGCTTCCTCGCCGACTGTTGACGCCAGAACCCTCCCTCCCCTCCTCACAACATTACCCCAATCTTGCATGACTTCAGTACTCCTCTGCCCAACACCACAGTGTCTCCGAGGTCATCAGCTCCTCCATTTCCATCTCAGCCCAATCAACCCCTCCTGTCCACCTCATACCCACCACCCAACATCCCCCTCCAACCCCCGACCCTTTCGGCCACCCGGCCAAGCTTGTTTTTATTTTCCTGCATATCCTGGTGCGTTGACAGACAGGCGAACAGGTATATTATTACATAGATAAAATATGAAAACAGAATAAAAATATCAAACTAATTAACCTAATGATGTTTTTTAAATGATGATTTAGAAATCCGATGTAATTAGTGTGGTTGCACTGCCAATTGTCTGTTGATATTTCTAATCCTTCATTACAATTAGGCCTCGGCAAGGTAAGGTAAAAGGTAAAAACAACGAGCCTACCTTTACCCTACCTTTTACCCTTACCCCATACAAATTACCCGATTACAGGGTAATTACTGGGGTACTACACATGAACAAGGTTTGTAACAGGTAAATGCTAGGTAGAGCGCTTTTATCATATAGAATACTTTCGATGATTCCAATTTTACACGCTTTCTTTTAACTCACTGTCTGTTGTTGTCGTTGTTGTATGCTCAAATCTTGTAACTCAATTTGAACCCACTTCCCAATGTGGTATTGACTGCAAACTTGATATACTTATATCATACTGATGACAATACTATATTCTATCATTCAAAATAAAAATATATATTTTTTTAAACATTCTTTTTTACGTTATGTTTCGGCTTGGGTCTAATTGTCCACTGTCAACTGACGTTGGCTGTAATTGCCACACGGTCCCTTACGTTGTGGCAAGCTTCGGGGTCACTTCCTAGAGTCGTGGAGTTCTGCCATGACTCGTACATTTCATAAAAGCGTGTTTTTAAAAGTAAAAAAAAATATTACTTATTATTAAATGGAGGCCACGGACTGTGCCACGGAGCTTTTAGCGGTAAACAAGACACCGCATTTACCGGGTAATACTTTGCGCTACCTTTACCCTACCGGGCAATTCTTCCGCACTAGCTTACCCCTTGGGAAAGGCGACATCTTTACCCTTTACCTTTACCCTTTTACCCGGTAAAAAGGGTAAATTACCTTACCTTGCTGAGGCCTAATTACAATTTGCCGTGCAATGTATAAATTAGCTGAGTGCAGAAAGTTCAAAGATATATTCGTTCAAGTTAAAGTATTTCTCTACTGAAACAATAAAGGGGGTGCTTATCTCGACTGGTGGACCCTGGGCCAGTCGTAAAACAAAACTCCACATTACCATGTATATATCCATAGGACACCCGCTTTTGATTTTAAACTAAACATTTTTTTTTTTGCAAATCCAGGGGGATTTAGTTCAAAACTGACCCAAATTTAAAATCACCACCACCTATTTTGATTATACCAAATTGAATGTTTTTGTTAATCAGCTGTTCAGATCCCCCCCCCCACCCCATACGTATTCGAATTATGCTCTCGGCTTTGTATGATGAGATGAAGTGTCGATTTGGAGCTTTCTCAGAGCAGTGCATTACCCTGTTTCAGAGAATAGATACGGAAGGTCATGTCACAGAAGAACTGTGTTCTGAGTTGCGGTGACATTTATACACTAAATAAATCCAAGTTGTATTGTTTTGTATTTCTATCGTCTCTTCAAGGAACCTCTTTCATAAACAGTAGGGGGACACTGCTTTTTTTGCATATGCCCAGCTAAGGAGAAATGTTTGTAGTGTGGCAGGCAAACTCAAAAAACATTCTTAGACCTGGAATTTAGCTCAATTAAGTGAGAAAACAACTTTAACAAAATGGGCTTTTTTGGTAGTCATTGGTGACCAGACCTCGACAATCAATTCGCTAAACTTGAGAACCCATTATCTTTATATGGGTGCATTTCCATATTCGAACCCATGAGTCACCGGCCTACCTCTATATATTTTTTTATTAATATTTTACATTTTAAGTGATAAATGAAATCATATATCATGAGCACAGTTTCTTTTTAATATTGTAATACTTTGGTAATGTACTCCTGTATATATAATACATCATCTTCATCATTACCGTCAATATAGAGTACTGCTTAATGCAAGCCTTCCTTACAAGTATCATTGCTTGCAGACTCTGCTGAAGTACCTTAACATGTATTTAATTATAACCATATATGTCAATTTTTATTTGGTTTAAAGATAATGTACGCGTAACTTTGTAAATGTTTTCAAATATTTAGCATTTGGATCATCATCAGCATCGGCCACGATACATCCACTGCTGGGTGAAGGCCTTGACAAATCATTGGCATATCTCACGGTCGTTGAATTCCCACAACTGGCTTAACAGTGCTGTTATCAGGAGATGAGCACCAATGCCTCAATGCTCATTTGCAGCAGGAAATAACTTTCATTTTTGAGTCAATCATAATTAATTTAAAAACCCAGAACAATTGATTGAAACTCGATGCTGTTTTGGACGTTTTAATGTCGATTTTTTTTCGTTATTAATTTGCTTCCGCGTCATAGCAGTGGTATATCTTTGCTGAATTATTAAGGATACAGAGACACATCCACAATATATGTATATAAAACAACAAATGTAAACACGATGGAAAAAAATGTATTCAATGAGAAGACACTATTTTGTAAATACAATTTTAATTAAATGCGAAATATTAATATGTATTGTGTCAAAGGCATACAAAAGCGGTCGTTTAAGGATTTTAATTCATCCAAATTTAATCCATTGCCCTGCTTAAATATGCATGAGCATGCTGCTCAATTTATAAAAAGCCATAATTATACTTGAGATCAAAATGCACGTTTGAACACCTTAACCCTAAGTTAATCCTTCAGTGTAATTATGGTAATTGTTATTATGAGGAGCACACATCAAAAGTACGTGCTTTTTCAAGAGCTTAAACCTTAGACATGTATTTGAGTGTGCTCTATGTGGTTATACAATTGTGGCTCAGTGCATTATATTCTATCCGTGCATGTGGAAATATGTTCAGGAGCTAAATGCCAATGTCGAGGTCTGCTAGCCACGAGAGGGTTTAAAAGAGAGTTTTTGTAGTTTTGCTATTCCTGCATTGAAGGGACACAGACTACACACAGTGCATTGAGTTGAATGGCCACAGTCACACTAGCTTGTCTTTAAGTTTCCATTTACTGTATTAAAGAGATATGTGCATCGGCCTCTTGATTGTCTAATGCGGTTGATGGTTCCACCAGTGTCTTTGAGGAATGTCTACGCCAGGAGGTGCGATGCTTGGGTCTCGGATCAGGTGTTTATTCTGTATATCCTTGTTGTTCCACTCTGTTCGCCAGCATTCTGGAGCTCAATACTCTGCCACCGAGTTGATCGGTGAGAGGGCGACAGTTTGGAGTACATCAGCTGAAGTGCCCCAGGTCGTTCCTGCTAGTTTCTCTCACAGGTCAATTATTGATTTGGTCTTTTCACCGATCTGTTTTGTGTGGGGCTTGAAGGTTTTGGCTTCTGTCCATGATAAGCCCTACATATTTTTGATCGGGGGTCATAATGCACTGGGCTACCACAGAAAGACCTATCAAGGATGGCATCTGCTGCATGATTCTTCAAGTGGAAAGCGCTGGTGGTGGTATTGTAAGAATTTGGTCGGGGTCTCCAGTGATCAGCTGTTAAAAGTATTCGCAATCTTGACTTAAAGCTTTCGTGACTGCAGGAATTCATATTCTAGGGGTCTTTCGGTAAAGTCACATAGATGAGTTCAAAAAATTTAACAAAATAACAAAAAAAATTACGACGTTTCGATCGTAACACAAGCGGTTATCATCGAAACATCATAGTTTTCTGTTATTTTGTTATTTTATTTGAACCTATCTACGTGACTTTACCAAAAGACCCATAGAATAGTATTGGCAATGTTTTAGAGGTTCATGCCCTGTGCAGCAAGGGCTATGTCATCTGTACACATCAGGCTGAGTGAAACGTGCCCGGCTGTGTAGGGTCGTATATAAGGAACTTGGCTTGTGCTGACTACTATTCCTCGAGTTTCCCTCCGGCTTCATTCTCTGAGTAGCCCTATTGTATGTAGTGTCTAATGAAGTCACCCACAAATTGCCGGATGAGTGGCTGCTGGCAGAGGTGTTGATGGACATTCCTTATTCAGGGGCTTTGATTAAAGTTTTGAGGCCATGTTTAGGGTGGTAGATGGCTGCAGCAACAACAACAAGGGTGTTCCCATTTATTGTGTAACTTGCCTTCCGTGTGCTGTCCTCAGCCTGCGTCTCCTGTAAGGCGACGTCAGCGCTGTTTCCCTTTGGTTTCTGGCCAGGAAGTCGCATTTATGTCTCAACATTTCTAGATTGTTTAGTTGGTATACGCGAAGGCCTCATCTGATCAGTTTCTGGCCTGCAAAGGGGTCATTGTTTCGGGTATTTGTCTCTACTAATCATATCTAGAGTCGAATTAACTATGCCAATTTCACCTAGATGATTGGTATTAGTAG